CAGATAAAAATATTATATTATATAAATTAGTAAAGATAGCTTTATTAATTTTGTAGATTATGTAACTGAAACTGTAAAGAATTTTTAAGCAAAAGTACATAATAATAGCTTATATAGTTTCTAGTATATTTATAAAAAACTAAAATTGGCACTTTTAGCCAGCCTATCTTACTCAAAGTTATGCATATTTCTTTTGCGCATAAGTGTTTTCTTTTTATTGTATTAAAGTTATCAACTTAAGCTGACCCGAATTGACAGAAGTGTTGCTAAAAGGCATATAAATGGAAAGCATTGGCGAACGCGCAACAATGCCCCACGTTACGGTAACTGTTCACGTGTGCACTAAAACGTACGATAAGCAGTTCCGCATTCGATTCGTGGGAGGGAGAAAAGAGATCATTGCTATTTTCGTACCTAATTTTTCCACTTTCCGAAGATGACCTGTCGGGGATAATAAAAATAGCCGAGTCAGGATTAGATCATTCGCGCGGCTCGTAGAGTGAACGTGATCACGGTGCATGTACCGCTGTTTATTCTTCCATTCATCGGGTTTACTCGCCGATCGACACGTGCATATTCAAGCGCCGGGGGACATGTACACGTATGTACACGCAACAGTGGTATGATTCTACGAGTAATTTCCGTCGTACGATCGCGACGAGAAGAAAAATAAGTGACCGCAGATATCATAATAACTCAGACGCTCGCTCAGCAAGAGCTGGGGGTGAGGGAATCGAACGATGCGTTATCGTGACTCGAATGTGGGAAGATTTCGATGAAGCTTACTGATTCGGCGCGGGTCAACGGGTGTCAACGAGAATCTTGTGTTCAGGCTGCTGCTTTACTTTTTCCCGCAACACGTACGGAACATGCGCCAGTCACGAGGACACGAATGTAAACGATTCTTTGGGAATAAAAAGTGACATCATTCGACGAACTTTCAAAACACTAAAGCCTATCTTGTTGAGAAATAACTTGTCACGTGAACGCAAATATTTAACTTCTAAAAATGATCCAGAGAGACATTATCGTGGATTACTTCACTTTCGACATTTGCTCGTTTGTGCGGTGTAAACCATCGCGAGATATCACTTCGTCGAGTAACAGTGACGAATGAATTTTCTGACTCTCAGAATTTAAATAGTAAATTCAGGGACGATTGAAGCGGCGAATGGACGAAGGGGGATCTTTTCGGTCTTCTCTCGATGTAATTTGTCATGGATCCTGAGTCGAAATGTTGGTTTTACATTAAGTTTTCAAAAGAAAACGGAAATAACTTCCCATTTATACTAATAGTGCTCCTTTGGTACTATAAAAGAAACTTAGATCTCTTGGAGAGGAAATTTTAAGTTCTACCTTGAGTCTACAAGAAAACGGAAATATTAGTTTCCCATTTATAGCATCAAAGGAACACAATAAAAAACCTTTTAAGACTTAACGTAGAGTTAAATAGATTGAATGTAGAGCTAAAATTTCGACTCGGGATACTTTAAACCAAATCTGCAAATGTACCAGAAACAAACTTTTACTGTAACTTTTTCGGACATTATTTAGGGTAATAGTTTGATTGCATCAGACGTAGCGTTCCAATTTTGCGAATCTCTGAATGCCGAACGAAGACTTTTTTATAAATAATTTCTCAATAAATTAAAAATGAAATAGCAGCCCTTACGATATTAAAGGTGTCGCACGCACTGCCTCTTTAAATACGTGGAAAAGTCAACGAGACAACTCGCACAGGCACCATGTTGGATCGCAAGATACTGAAACGCCGTCGGTCGCTGCGGGCTATCCTGGCCCATCGTCCAATCGCCGCCAATTGTCGGCAGCCCCATAATACAGTTAATCCCCGAATGGCCGGCGTAATGGGGGAGACCAGCTAGCCTTGCCTCTAACACGATCCTGAATTATTTCGTGGAACGGCCGCGAAGAAAATTGCGCGTAAGAAATTTTCGGTGCGTATTAGACGCGTAGTCGGATTTCGCATGGTGCGAATTTCGTTCTTCCACACACGGTGATCTTCGAATCTTATTTTACTATTTGTAAATATCATATAAAATATTCAACAAATATTTAATAGGTATATACACATCTAATGGATATATACACATACATACTGTGTACACAACAAGTTAGATCAACATCTATCGATCGATCGATATGGATACATCTAACACTTTGTAGAGTTGAGATTTGTTTGACTTTCCGTTTGGAGCGTCTCGATTTACGCGAACTTATGAGGAACTAGTACATCTCACGAGAATGCGAACGGGCAGGATCTAATTACATTCATGCGACGGTATTCGTCACGCGCGTCTTTTGTAGCGACTGGGATTAACTCGCGGATTTATTGTACCTGTGTTTATTAGAGCGACTCTCCGTTCGAAGTCCAAAGTCCAAAGTCGAAATTCTTCGGCTTCGCCGAGGAAGCTGAACGATTTCTACGCCAGCGCTCCTCAGAAATTGCGTCATGGCGCCTTCTCGGAGAGAACTAATTTTAGAGTGAGCGCGGCGAACTTTTGAAAACGGAAGTCTGCCGCACGATATGGACGATGGTTGCAATATTCGTGATAATTTCTATATATAACACATTCAAGGAACGAAAACGAGACCCTATATCGAGCGAAATGTGTAGAAATTTCTATATATGTGTAATAATTTTTATACGTAGCACATTTAAAGAACAAAAACAGGACGATATATCGAGCGAAATGTGTAGAAATAAAATACGGACAAGAGTGATAAGTGTAAGAGTGATGATATTACATTTGTCGGTTTGTTCGTGTTGCTTGTACTTTTTGCACTCGATCTCCTCGCTCTTATTTCTTCTAGCGTCCGAACACGCGTCCGTCTCCATCTAAGTACGAAAAATGCGACAAGTGCAAGCAATACGAATAAACCTTATCGGAATTGTCAATTATCGAAAAAAATGCGAAATACTTTCAAGAAATATAATTACAAGCATTAACTTCTTAAATCAATGCTAATATTGAAATTTATATTCGAAAAATGAGACACAATTAGTTGCTATTGATAATTGTCGTGTTCAGGCGACAATTATCTCTTTCGTCACGAAAAAACAGCAATTTGCAAAATGACAAATTTGATATCGGAGGCACAGCAGTTTTCACAAATGCACACTGTATCATGACAAAATTACAGCGCGGATATATCGTAATTATAACGTGACGTACACACGCCACCGAGTGCAGGAAAGTGAGCAAGGAAACGCGTCTGGTTAATAAAAGGGAAGGGGGTAATGCGCTGTGCAAGATTCAGCCGTTTCGTACGTTACATCAGTCACGTATGCCACGTGCAGAAACAGCGCGAGTCGACCTAGAACTGCGAGGTCGACCACGTGTGGAAATTCCAGAAAATTGTCGAGTTAAGGAAAATGGCTTGCATTACTTCTGTCGCGTGAAAATCACAACAGCGTCGAGATGTGTGTAGTCGTTTGTTTCCGCCGCGTTAAATTACCGCGCAACATTGTTTCCTCGGCGGAACTAGAGTTAAACATTCGCATGCAGATTTAATTTATTCATATTTTATATCGAATTGTTATATTTTAATTGAAAAATATTTTTCACGGACGCAAAGCGTTCCCGACGAAAATGGTCAAATTTGATTTACCTAGATTCGTCGGATTTGATTTTAGACCAATTAGATTTAATTGTAATTCGTTGTTCGGAATACCGCGTTGTGCAGCGGAAGAGAAGTTTTCGAACTTGTTTTCGAGCTTGTTTTCGTGAAAACAGAGCCATTCGATCGTGCATGCATGCATCGCTTCGTGCCGAAGTGTACTTCGTTGAAATCGACGTATAATTTAATGTCAGCCTCGCAAACAATGCCAGCGAACGCTATCTACCTCACGACAACGAAATTTAATTCCGCCACCGGTCGCGCAAACAAACCAATTTCCTTTGTGCATCCGCAATTCCTTCCGGAGGGAACGCTATTCTAATCGATTTTGCCCCAATCAACGGGATTTTGCGTTTCGTTTCAGACTCGATCACTATCGAGACCGACAATCATTATCGTTTTTTTGGCGCAAGGAGCTTAAGTTATACGCAATTAGCGTAGTAAGAAAAGAGCTTTTTACGATGAAAGAGTAAAACGCAATTCCAAGAATATAAGTGCAATGTAATAATATAATATTCAAAACATACAGTACATTATACATGGTTGAATGAAGAAACGGTCCGGGGAGTAAATCCAGAGTTCCCTATTTTAGAATAGCGGGGTTAATATTTTATGGTAAGAAAATGTAAAATGCTTTGTCCAGAAGAGAGTCATTGTTGTAAATGCATAAAACAGTACATTTTTAACGCACCGATAACCTGTGAAATCGCGGGTTAAATTTCAATGGAGTGTAAATTTAGCCAGCAATCGATAACATTTCTGTTCAATCTACTTTTTGTATCGGGCAAATCGTTATCCAACGAAATAATTGTCCGAAAGTCGGAAATTTGAATGATTTATCATAGGTAGTTCAGTCGAACGTTTAATCGTTATTGCTCCTGTTTGGCGCGGGAAATTATTTAATTTTATCGAAATTATTTAATCCGGCCTACCACAATCGATCAGTACAATAAATCCGAGTAGAACTGTACATGTATACATCAATGTCGCGATATTGAAGATTCAAGATTGAATTAAGTTTGTTAAATTGTTTAAAAGGCGTTCTCTGCAGACTGATGAAACTTTAAGAGACCGATATAGCTTCCATTAGACACTCGTACCTTAAGATCGAAGTTGATTCGCCGAGCTAAATCGAACGAGACGGATTTAATAAGTCAATATTCACGCACAGACGCAGAAGCGCGATCTCTAGTCGCTAGGATAAGACCTCTGCCAATACAGCGAATATCGACATCGGACGCGTTTTCCTGCGTCCGGTGTTATCGCGAACGTACCGTGCGAACATACTCGAATATCGCGAAAAGTAATATTTATTCCGACTGTTAACGTATTGTCGCATATAAGAGATGCGTGACACTCACTTATCAGGTTCCTGAAGGTGTCGGTGAATATCCGAATCATCGTGAAGTCTGTTTAGCTCGAAATTCGACAAAATATTTACGAACTCTCAGCCCGGCCGCGTCTGTCAGCTGGTGCGCACCACTACCATCACACGTTCCTTGCACGTAGCTGACTGTCTTGCAGTCCTGCTGCGCCTTCCTCCACTAGATCCTACTGAAGGTCCGAGGGATCGCGTTAAAACTCTTCGAAACTCTCCCCACTTTCTCTTCTTCCCTACCTCTCCTCTCTCTCTCTCTCTCTCTCCCTCTCTCTCTTTCCCTCTCTCTCTTTCTCTCACTTTACACGAGGTTACCGCGTGAAGCCCATTCACAAAGAAAAGAGGAGCGCTCGAGATTCTCCTCGCGAAAACGCCGCAGCTTGCGTGACCGAATCCGCGAGCAAATCCGCGCTTGTGCGAGAAATTCACGACGCGTCGTCAAGGAAGGCGGCTAGAAAGGCCACCACCACCACCGCTGACTACTCCGCTTCTCGTGGTTCGCCGATCGCGGATCGTTCTCGAGGTTCACTTATCTTCCTGCGAGCTCATCAATTAGTACGATGAAACTTAAAGCCTCGTTATACCGCTGGAAATTCAACCTTTGAATCGCGCAATCTTCTTATTGGTGTGAAATTGGAGATTCGAGGTCTTCTCGCTCTTGTCTCCCCGATGCCGGGAACGCGTCAAACGTTAAAGTCGCACTCGTGGGTGCCGAACGCAACTCGAGATCTAGAATGTACTTCTCATTTCTATGAGACCACGGGAGTCCCGAGAACTCCGGGATATGTTTCTATCGTCGAGGTAGAATTCGATTCGAGCAGGAACCTTTGTGCCCTTTTCACCGTGTAGGAGACTCGCGCGAACTCCCACTCAAGAAATTCGAAGTTTCTACCTTCTCGATGTGCAGGGAAATTCGAAATTTCCGCGCGACGTCCTTTTCCTCGACGGAGGAACTTCGGCTCCAAAATAACCCTCTCTCTTTTATATCTTCCTCTTCGAGACTTCTCCGATGTATCAGAAATTCTGCCGTCGTGTTCTTCTCGGAAAACTGGGCCGAACTGATCTCGACACTTATGAAGTCGAAATTTCGCCGTCGGCGCGCGCGATCAAAGATTCTCTCGTCGATCTCGACGAATCCGATTCTCTCGGTCGCGGGGATCCTCGCGTCGCGTTGTCTCGCGCGAAAAGCACACACGTGCACGCCGTCACCGCCTGGAGCGCTCTGCCGTGGCATTCGTCATCGTCATCACCGTCGCCGCTCGGCTCCACCACCTCCCGCGCTTCAAGCTGATCCGTACTTTGACACCGTCGCGTTATGCGACGTCGCGAGGGACCGACTGAGCGGGACCGACGCTATTTCGTCGGCTTTATTGTCCACCAGCGGCAACACGCGTGGCGCGACGACGACGACGGCTACGACGATGACGACGCCTCTTCCGATCACGCCCTTTGACCTGACGGTATCGGAGGGAAGAGGAGGAGGAGAAGGAGGAGAAGGAGAAGAAAATGGTAAAACGGAAGGGGTTGCCATCTCTTATCAGGTCCCTCGTATGCATGTTCTTTCTCCCGTTCCCCTTCTCCTCTTCCCCCTCTCCGCCAGGATTCTTATCGTTATCCCACTCCGAGGTTTCTTCTTTGTTGAAATTGCGATTTTTTGGTCAGGTAATAAGTAACGTACGATTCGCGTTTACGAGATGTAATTCGCTCAAGCGACAGAGAGATCGAGATCGAATCGATATGCGGACGTTATTTCAAAGAGTGAAGCTTCAATATGAGATATCTTTATTGTAATCGCTGCGTACGTTATTTTCGCACCTCCGAAAGTTGAATCCAGCGGGAACCGAAATTATCGTTGTTTATTCGCTCGCGAATAAAACATCATGGACATCGCGTAGTTTGTGCGATATAAGGTCATACATCGCCACGTTTAATATCGGCGAGAGATCGATAGGACAGATTTGATTATTTAGAGGCGGGAGCGCGAAATCAACGGCAGTTGATTTCGCGCTCCCGCCTCTAAATAATCGCGCGCGGGGATTGTTATCACGAGTTTGCTTAGCATTCAAAGGGTATTGCGCGAGAATTATGTAAAGGCGAAAAACAACGTATTTCGGCTACGAATACGCACGACTGGCCGCAATTATTCTACCGTGTTATTGATGCACTCTTCTGGCGCCCGCATTTAAAAAGATAATGGCTGCGATGGTGTAATGCGCGTAATCGGATTATGCAACTGTGCCTGCAGCTGAAACGGATCATTCGACGAAGGATCGTTTTTGTTAAAAGCGCGAGCGGCGTCACACGGATTTTACGATTTTCCAATACAATACTAAAAAAAAAATCCGTACAATTCCTTAATGCTTGCGCTCGGAGAGTTAAAGCTTTAATCGCCCGGCGAGTTAAATGAGAGACATCAACGACGCCGATCCATTGTGTCCTCTGTATTTCTCCGTAAATGGACGTCGGGGAAGAGTGGAGACCCTCTCGATGTGGGATTTTCCAAATTCTTTCATTTTTCTCGTGTCACGTACATTCCTGTTTTTCTTTTTCACTCAGTCGCGCTCTCCTAATTTTTATTCGTTCTGCGCACACGGACTTATAATTGCACGTCAAGTTGATTGCGAGATGTTGGGTTATTACTCTTCCATAAGCGAATCACGAAAAGCGGATAATTTTGGAATATTTCTCGTTGTGGTTTTTTGCCATTCTCTTTTTAAAGTTGACTGCATGACGTTCTCTTTGCGTTTAAAAAATTCTGACAACTGTAGCGCAGTTTCTTTGTCCGCTGACCACAGTTATGCAATTTAGAGATGCAATTTCATCTTGAAACTCGCGTTTGTTCGGTAAAAAACATATTTCTGTTAAGTTTATTTGAGATTCACCATAATGAAACTCGGCAATGATGTTTGTCATGGTGGCCTTGTTGCGTGACAAACATGTTACGTCGATCAGCAGAATTTAATGGTTGCGGTCGTTTCGAAGAACACAAACGAAGCATAATGAACAAAGAGAGAAAGATAGAAAAAGAGAGATGTATAGTTTCTCTCTTGATGAGAACAGGAGAGAGAGAGAGAAAGAGAGAGAGTGAGAGAGAGAGACCACAAGCGGAAACTTGCTTCATTTTGTAGCAGCGGAAAATACAAGGCGAGAATCAGTGTATTTTCATGTTTTTGCATAATTTGTAGCGTCTCGTAGAATATATGATACATAGTTTTATAAAGTGGTTTTTACCATTTTAAATTTCGCTTAGCGATTTAAAAACTAACGAATAATTAATTCTCCCAAATAACTTTTTTATCTCTTTAAACATAGATATTGCGAAAGAGAAAGAATTTATATCGGAAAAAATATTTTCAAATCTCCTGAAATATTGGAAATGTTTTTTTTAGACGCGGGTCTTCAATTTCAATCGAGCTTTCGTTTCGTGATTCCATTATTAAATTGAAAAATAAGACAAAAATGGTAACTAAATCGAAAAAAATTGGAAAAATTGAATCGATTCTTGTCGTATCGTCTCCCGGTTTTTGTACTACTAAAACTAATATTTCATTCGTCTCACAAGTTTCGGATATCTGATAGAAAATCTCGGGAGAATTCTACAAGTAATATTTCTGGAGCTCTGTGTGTGTGTGTGTGTTTCGAAATTCTGTCCAATTTTTCAGAAACTTCGCAAAGATTCTAAAAAAAAATGTACAAAGTTTGCTCCCAGAAGAAAAATGATTCGGGACTCTAGAGAGCATTTTCTCGTTCTTCCGAGTCGCCACAAAATTGCACAAAGTGGAGAATGTACCTGGTCTCTCCGTTATGCCTCTTACACGCACGCGTTGCGTCTCTTAACTTTGTGTACGTAGCACATACCCTGCGGCGAGCTCGACGTTTTCTTCAGCGCCTTCACTAATGAGTCATCGTATCGCGGGTACAAAGTCCGTCGACGGTCGACTCGCCTCGAGTCGCTAATCTTCTCTCCTCGGCCGATTCGCTCGATTCGGTTACCTAAGAAATTCCTCCCCGCGAGTTAATATCGCGCTCTTGCCACACCACCGTTGCATTTCTCTCGATCCCTGCTGTCCCCTCTCCCTCTCTTCCTCCCGTCGACACCGTGTGCGACTTTGCACCGTATAGTTACAGCTTGTTAAGCCATAATTAACGGCTCAATTGCCTCTCGTGGCTGAACTTCGCCCGCCACGCAGCACGCGCGTGTTCTCCAGGAATCCTGACCTTGATCTGCCCGCCGGTTTCGTTCCCTTTTTTTTTTACTATTGCTCCCGCTGCAGGCGCATTCTCGCCGGATGCCGCCTCCTCCTCGATAGTGCTCGATCGAGGTCTAATTTCAGATCCCGGGGACCCTCCGCCGCCTTCCCGCGATTCTCGATATCGCCGGGTCGCCCTACGTATTTTCTCTGGCTTTCTTTCTCCCCTCAGGAATTACCGGGCTCCATCGTCTTTCGCAGAGTACTTCCTTAAAAGGACCTCTCGCAAGCTTTCTTCTTAAGAAAGAAACTCTTGGAACAACTCTCGCTATTATCAGGAGCCCGTTAATCCTTCGGCAATCTTGAGAATTTTTTCAACGTCTCTTCGAAGACACCTTCTCTTAAAGTAGGAATTCTAGAGAATCACAATGCTTTTTGGAATAAAACTTAAATATTCTCTCTATCTAAAGATGAGATTCTCGGATCTGCCTCTTCTTTACCGGGCAACGCGTTAATCTCTCGGCGTCACTTCTCTTATGACGGAATCTTCTGTAAATCCCGGATTTTCCTCAAGAATCATGTCTCCTTGAGAATTTTCCTTTTCAAAAATCTTTCGTAAGAATCACTCCTCTCAGAGCGATACCCAGAGCATTCTCTCTTCGTGGTAAGACCTCAGAACGACCTCTCTCTTCGAGAACTCGAGACAGAGCAGGAGAAAAGCCGTCGACGCTCGGGCATCTCAAGCCCTTTCTCTATAACTCCTCTCTTTCTCTCTCTCTCTCTCCCTTTGCTCTCGACACGTGACCTTCCTTCCACGAGGAAAGCAGAACTTCTCCTCGGATTTATTCGACGGTCCTTCGACTCGATCCTGCGACCTTGACGATGCGCTGCGTCTTGAGGCGCGGCGGGCAGGGCTCTTCGTGATCGCACGGCGATTCAAGCTCGCGACAACGCGCGTGCGTGATGATGCGTGAACGCGTGTAAGCGTGCGTGCGTAAACGTGAAACGCGGTGGTGCGAGCTCTCCATTGATAAACAAAAGACAGCTGTTGATATGAGACACGACGCCGCTATGAGGAATGCCGATGGCGACTGGAGGAAGTTTGCCTCTGGCACCGCCACTTCACGTTGTTACTCCGCGGCGGCGGTGAGGGAGACCTCGGCCGCCTCCACCACCTCCGTCGCTGGTGAGGGCAACGTGGAGAGGGGGAATCGTTCACCAGGGGGAGGGAGTAAACAGGGCCAAGCGTATATCCCTCCCACCTCTCTTCCTCCTCTGCCTTCTCCTCCACCTGCTATCACCGCCGATTCTCCCGTTCGCCTCGGCGTCGATGCGCTCGAAAACAAGTTGGCCGCTCTCTTGGCGCATGATAGCTCGAAGGTAGATACACGAAAGTGTCTCGGTATCGCGGTGAATGTAGTATAGTCGCTTGAGTGCCTCGTAGAAGAGAGATCGCATTTTGGCCGTCCATGGCCAATAAGCGGCTGGATAATCGCGCGACGGTGCGGCGCGCTCGTAAATTCGACGATTTTGCACGAGAATATAACAAATTCGCTTTGAAATCAACATTGACCCGTGCACGATATTTGAATTAAATAATTTTACGCTCGAATTCGGTGTAATAACGCGTGGGACATATCCAGGGCTTCATAATTTCGCGCGAGAATTTAATATCCATTGTTACGTAGCGTAGAATTTAATAATTTCCCGGCAGAATTTGATAATTTCACGTTAGAGTCCAATATTTCCGCGCCGACAGAAAGTAATGCGCCGAATGAAATCGACGAGTCCACGGTAGAACAGAGGTCTCCTTTTCCTTTGATATTCTCTGTTGTGTGCGCTGTTTGCATGTGTATGTTACTTGGAAGAGAAAGAATTATTTCCTTCCTCCGTACTCCCAAGGCAATAATAATCCCGAGGATATCGGATTCGAATAATATCTCTCGTTGCATAATAACAATAATAAAGCAACAATATAGCTTCAGATTTCCTCCGACGTATCTACCGAGAGAAATTAAATATCCTTCGGTGAGTAATTACAAATAATCTTCACTATTCGCTCCGGCGAGCTTCGCCGCTATACATTTAGATCAAGTTTTCGTCTCAGTAGCAGATCCAGGCTGTGCACTTTCGCGGAGCTCGAACGGTGCACAGCTGTGTGCGCCGTTGTTTTATTCCGCCAACTCTAAATTTATCTCCGAGAGGAGAGGCTAGAGAGAAAGAGAGAGAGAGAGAGAGAGAGAGAGAGGGAGAAAGAGAGAAAAAGACAGACGCGATAAACGAGAGCGGGAGGGCGGGAGAGTTGGCTCGGAAATCCCCTCCATCCCTATCGCTTCCTACCCCGCCGGGACGAAGTCTGACCGTCTCTATTCCTCCTCTTTCTTACCCTCTCGCACTTCTCTTATCACGCGCGCAGAAATGCCATCGCTGGCTGCGTTAGCTACCGAATTACGCGGCGTACATCTCCGCCGAATTCATGTGCGTGTGGATCGCGCAAAACTGAAATGCTCGCGCTCTTTTCCCCGGATATGACGAACGGAAAATCCGATTTTATTTGTCAGGAAATTGGGCCCCGTCCGGCCTCTCGCGTTGAAATGGATTTCTTCGGCGCGCGCGTATACGTGTGTGGATGTGTGGGTGTGCGCGCGCCAAATTGGTTTTGTTTCGACGATGATTGAAATGGAAAAGCGCGCCGCGAGACGTGCCTTGTGTTGCAGATTATTTCGCTTTATCTTCTTCGTCAGTTTGCGTCGCTTAGGCACTCATCCTCTTCTTTTTTCGTTTCCTTTAGCTTGTTATGGTAAAGAGGAAGAAATGGGACACATTTGTAATGAAAACTGTCATTTTTCTTAGAGAGCTATTCGACTCGGTTATTTAGCTACTTAGACTTGATATTACGACCGTATTTCACGGAGACATTTAAAGATAATCACACGAATATTTCTGTGCTGGAAATGTTAGCAGAAATTTATACAGGATGTCTTACCGCTACTAAAGAATATTTTAATTCCGTATTTGCGATTAGATCTTTAAAAAAACCCCACCTATTATCTTATCGTGTGAATTTAACGCATTTGGAATATTTTTTGTATGAAAGTTAAATAACGGGGAGAGTGCGAAAACGAGACACGTTTTTGTAGAATATTTTTCCTTTCCTTCGGTATTTCTTGTTTTGCTCAATTGCATTACCGGAAACGCGTTTGCCTTTGCGCGGCGCGATTAACCGGCGCTTTGAGAGGTTCAAATTTAATCTCGCGGTGCTTTAGGATGCACGGAGGTGTGGTTCAGCTCTTAATCTCCTTCCCGGAAGATCTGTGGTTCTCGTAACTGAATGATTGTTTCTCGGGCACGAGCCAATCTGACGGCAGGGAAACGAAAAAGAGGAATAGTTAGTCATGTACAAAGCAATGACTCGCCGCCACCCACGGCTTTTCCATGTCTCTTCTTTTGTTCGCCTGTTTCAGGCGGTCGGATATTTTACAGAGCGAGCTTTAATTTAAGCCGCGACTGTCAGCAGTATCTCTTTCTGCTGTCAATGTTCCCAGTGCGCTCAGAAATCTAATATGGAGTGTGCGATTTTTGCGCATAGCACGTTTAGGAAAGATAAAATAAATAGAAGGATGGGTTCGCTCAGAATAGGCAGAGAATTGGCACAAAATAAATATTTTTTTGCAGATATATGGGTCTGTAGATGAAAAATGTAACTTTTAATTGTTGGGTGAAAATACAATAGTATTTTTAGCGATATCAAGCGACAGAAATAAATTTTCTGTAGAAAATATTTAACAGAAAAATATTTGTTTAATGGAAGAAGGAAGGTAATGACATGACAGAATTAGTTAAAAATTAATAAAAAAAACCCCATCAACGTTTCAATTTTAGTCACCAGGCGTTGTATCTTTTCATAACGTCCGTTATATTTTTGTCTAGAATTGATAATGATGATGATGCGTTTTTATAACACGTGATTTTTCTTTTTCATATGTTCGGTGCTTTATCGACTGTTAGATTAGTTCGGTTTTGCATTATCGGCATATTCCGAAAGAACATACTCGGATCATGTGGTTGAAGCAGCTGAGACTAGATCAACAATTTAATCACGCCTCTGCACTGGTCGATGATTAACGACCTGTTAGTAATTAATCCCCATCCAGCAGTCGAAGCGATTCGTATGAAAGAGCCAATGAGAGAGAGGCAGAAGCAGAACGCGAGATTAATTAGTTCAGAGATCGTTCGAGTGCGAGGGTTCAACAGGAAGATCATTTCATTGACCTCGCCTTCGATATCGATCGTTTCAATCGAGTTAGAAGAGAGATGCTTGTATATAAGTCGCTGTTTATTCCGAGTCATCGCGTACTTTGCCCCTGACTTGACTATCTTGACGAACAGCTCGCTAATATGTAGCAGATAATGCGAGACTTTTACTTGGAATCATAAATGAATTCCTTCTTTAACCGAAATTCTCTTTCTTTTCACACATTAATTATATTATTTATTTGCGGACTTATAAAGACTTTTAAGTTTGGTCTACAATGTGCTCTTTGCGTCTTGTTTTTTGCTTTCTATCTTTCTTCTGTAAAAACTTCTACTTACTTACTGGAAAAGAGAGAGAAAGCAAGAAAGAAGAGCACATTATAGATCAGGCTTTACAATTCACACTCTGAATGACTCGCTTCAAATATATTATTTGGTGTTCTTTTTACAAGACTTTAATCGCTTTTTCACATGAATTGTCCATTATAAGCTTCAACTTCGTCTTATAACCCGAGTAATTTTGTTTTGTCGATGAAGTCACTACAATCAATTATGTAACTTTATTCCACAAACTGTATTACGACTAGGACTTTGTAAATTAATTAATTACCTTATCTGCTGTCGCAGGCGAACTTCTCCGAGTTATCAAATTCGTATCCGCGCTTTCTCAAGGCGTGATACGTCGACGACGAGCGCGACCGGAGTTGAAACTTTCGCGAATTTACGGAACGAGTTTGTACGGACTATTTTTCGCGTCTAAAGAGACACGTGGCGTCTAGACGACTGGCGTCGCGACGAGCGACGGCGACGATGTATGGTTGCCTTTTGGAGCCCTCTCTGCCCTAAGACTCTCTCTCGGGCCATCCTTGTCTCTCCTCTCCCCTACCGAGAGACCGTCTCGATCGCTCCCTTCCCCGAGCAGGGAATCCCCACCATTTTCTACGAGAGGGAAGAAAGCCCCCTCGTTGCGATGGGCAGCCATGGATAGTGATGGCACTCGTACCAATGCTGACGTACAACGATGAACAAGTATTCAATACATTCACACATTATCGCACATGGAAAATATATACTTTCGATAAGAGCTGATAAAAATCGATAAGATAGGCTCTTCCTTCTTTTTCCGCGAAGAGTATCCAAATTTTTATTTTTCTAGCTAATAAATTATGTAACTAAAAAATAAATTCGACGTAATGAAACTACCTATCCTTGTAATTTAATTTAACGAGAACTTTATAATTTGTTATCATTGACATAATATTATTAAATTCTGGACTTGTATAGTATGTTTTGTGACTGAAGAAATCAAGTAGATTTCAACACACACCATTTTTTTGTAGAATGTAAAAGTGACCTAGATAACATTAAAATGTTGTAAAGACGTCTTTTAGACAATAAGACGTCTTAAGAACGTCTTTTAGACATACATGTTGTTTGGGGAATGTCGAAAAAAATAAAGTGAAATTTCCCTCCAACTATTTGCAAGAACCGAGAGCCGTTGCTGTAACGAGAATTTTTATAGGGTTTCGGTGCCATCACTACCTACGGGGTTTCCGACCCGAAAGGGCCGTATCGATTATCTCGAGCGCCTGGCTGCGTAATTCGCGCTGACTGTTGCGTGAATTCACGCGCGTCCGACGCACGCGTGTGCCTCGAATTAATCGCGGGAAAGAACGCGTCGTGTCTATTCAAACTAGGGGTGGTCGAACGATAGTGTCGAAGAAGAAAGAGATAATATCGTGCTTGGGAAATTTAAAGCAGCGGGGGGCAGGTTATAAATTTCGAAATTACGAATAACGCTTTATCGTCTGAACTCGTGAGTCAGGTTTCCGCTATCAGTCACGTGAAAGTAATTTCGCAATGTCGCTGATTTTGACGTAATATTTCTCATATATCATTCTTATTCTGATATAATAATATCGCTGTGTGACGCTAATTGCTACGCAGTGTGATAAAAAAGTAGTATGAACGGAGAATTACACGTTGTAATTAGAGATGTTATAATTATTATGCCGTTTCACAAATGTGATAATGCTAATATAATGTTACAGCGTGTTCTCTCCCGAATATAGAATTTCCCAGGTTTATTACGAAATTTAATGATTTATATTTACTAAAGTAAACGTCTGTTCATTCGGCACTATTAATAAATAAATGACGTGAAATTTTACATTCAAATGTGTCACGACAGATTTCCCGTATATATTATTTCATGCGCGATATCGCGCATTATCTTTTCTCTGCTTTTACGGCGGGAATTTAAATTAAATCTCCGAAGATCCGAGATATAAATTCATATCGAAACAGAATGCAATATGTCGCGGTATAATGGGGATGTATATAACTATAATATGGATATAATAAAAAGTGCATAAACGAATATAATAAAGTACATCAGATTTTTCCTCTGTTATAAAGGAACATCGGAGGGGACATAATGGTGATTCGTTTTATTCGATGGAATGGAAAAGAGGGAGAAAGAGAGAGAGAGAGAGAGAGAGAGAAAAGTTCTTACCTATGCAATCAGGCAGCCTAGTAGCGGTCTCGTTCCACTTGCCATTCCTGCACTCGAGCGTCCTTTTTCTGTCCCGGCTGTCGGGAAACACGCTGCCCGACTTGCATAGGAATGTCCGCGAAGTCAATGTACCGTTCGACACGTAACTTCCGTTCGGCGCCGAGATCTCCGGACAGCCTAGCACTGTAAGCGAGTTCATTTCCACCTTTACCTCCGCAATTAATATCTCGTCCTATCTTAAAGCACCGACACGATCTGATATCGCGGCGCCAGCCCTGCGGGATTTCCATTATACAGGGTCTTTTCGCGCGGCTCCCGAACATTCGCGACAAAGAGCACGGAGAGACCGAGCTATGTAGGTCGCTCTCACATCGGAGTTCGATTTAATTATTAAGAGATCAGGCCTCCGGGGATATAGTCGATAAGATAATTAGCGGTGGAAATTGCGCGAACGTAAATTATGTATTTAATATTAAATTTCGCCCACTTCACATTAAGTTTAATATTAAATTTTACATCTAATATTAACTTTCTCTTTATCTTTTTACTTTTCTTTTATTTTAACGTAGACTCTCGTAGTCATGTGTGACATTCGTAGAGTTGAATTCTATTTTTCTAACTTGCCGATGATATGACGGGTCTTCTGGTACGTCGCAAGATTCGCATAGTCAAATAAAAAAGTATTTCTTCATACTCGAGAATAACACAAGCCTGAAAGTTTTCCCGTTCGTTGGCCTCGTTATAAATGTAGTTTACCATCGAATACACTAGAGAGAGAGAGAGAGAGAGAGCCTCTATTTTAGCCTCAAGTTTAATCTCTCCTGAGGGCTCTGACGTCGGCTCCATTTTTAGAATATTCGCAGCTTATTTCTGGAGAGAGATTAAACGTTATCTAGAGCACAGTTGAGGAATTCTAAAATACTTCGGGGGATTTATCTGGGGTGCTACTAGTTATAACAAAGCATTACCTCCACGTGGACGATACACTCGACTTAATATCGCGGAGATTCACTGGGCGAGACGCCGAGATACCTTCCGTCAAAGTGATTCCCGAATTAGTTAATCATTACGTAACGACGCACATGTTCGCGACTTTACTTTCGCATTTTTGAGAAAAGATTTTTCTTTTCTTTTTTACCTTGGTAATGCAGCAGGAAGCCTCGGCTGTTGTAAAGTCTCTTGGAGGCGATAAAGTCGAGCGACAATCGATTCGTGTTCGAGACAACCCGAATTCCCGCCGCGGTGCCGCAGAACTCCAAGAGAATGCTGTTTCGATCCCGCGCTCTCACAATGTCCATGCAGCTTCCATTTGCGCGCGGACCTGCGGGAATTTATATTTTGCAATCTCTGTTTAGGATCCGCTGAGAGCGCGCGTAAATCAAGCTCGTTTATTTCTTCGACGTTGATCGACGCGGTCCGGAGATAGCTTTTAACCCCTTAACCCGATCGAAGGTTTTTGTTGTCATATGCAACACATCTGGCAGCGAGATACTTCGTTTTTATCGTGAACTGGCTACACGCTAGCTATTTGTTATTCATACGGCAGAAAGCACGATGGAGTTGGTCAATGTGGGTAATACGGGCTCGCGTGGTTTAAACGAAAGAAGAAGAAATTTAAGGACAAAATATGTATCATCAATAATATCGCTAACTATATATTTTTTCTATCGCGAGCGCGCATCCTCTTTCTTGAAATTTTCCTTTTCACTTGAGCGAAAAATTCCACCGGTTTATTTTTCACGATGAAACAGAAGCACGGTGATATTACATTTTATTTATAGCGACCATCTAAAATTGCGCACGGTTACTTTACATTTTTTTAATTTACCCGCTAAAAACAAGTAAGAATACAGCTTTAATCTCTTATCTTCGCCAATGAAAAAGACTTCAATTTCGGCCGGCTTAACGTGTCGCGTTCTCATGGAAAAGTTCAACGATTGAGGGTTGCTCGAGTGCAAACTTACCGAGGATATTTAAGTCGTGGAAGGTCAGAACTATTCTCTGCCCCGGAAGCGTTATGAAGGTCCATCCACATGTGATGTTCCCGAGATAGTATAACGGGTAGCCCGGAGTGTTGATGTAACCTCCTTCCCCAGCGGCCACCTTCACCTCCTGGTTGCAGTACCGCCTAACTGCGGCTTCTACGATCAATCCATAATTAATCTTTGACATGGCGTTTGTCGATACAACAACCTACATTTGCGCGATGTGTGGTATAGTGATGCGGTATGTTGGCGAGACCGCTTCGTTTATGTGTGTATTCGTGAGGAAGCATTTCGACAAATCTCGAGATTAATTTTCGGGCACGCGTATATACTTCGGTTAACAATTTTGATTAAATGTTCAAACTTATTCATGTTTAAATTTGGTTATTTTAAATATTATGTGTAAATTAGAATTGCAGAAAAATAGTGACAGTGGATTGATAGAATTATTCCCTCTCTCTCTCTCATTCCTTTCCTTTCTCCCGTTCTCAATAATTCAAAACTATTTGAATCGCGAGGTTATCGTTGCATATAATACGAGCGGATAAATTATGACGCGGAATTATTCCAACGATGCGTCCAATTCTGACGCGCCACAGGCTATCCCGTTAATACAACGCCACCCTCTGGATAGTCCACCCTCTAATTAAATCCCGGTCGAGTAACAAATCATAACGCCGGCTGACAGTTTCCTAGCTTTGAAAGGAATTATTTTCGCGGCGGCAGGGAAGGTTCCTCGGGGCCGCGTAGTCGTTTTCACCTAACATAAGGCCGCATTAACATCTGCATCCGTCGCGGTCCATTTGTCGCCGTGCATTTGACGCGATTGCGGGACCCTTTATAGCGTTGCAGCAGGCAGCCGGGCGGGCGAGGGTGTCCTTGCCCCAGTTTCGCGGATAGAGTCCGCTCGGATGGAGGGGTGGGATTCGCTCGTGGTGGTAATAAGGGCAATGCAGGGGAAATTTGGCCCTCTGTCCTCTCCCCTGGCTTCCCTCCTCCTCATCCTCCGCCACCCTCTGTCGTTTCCTTCGGTGTGCAACGTCTGTGCAACGTCGTTTCCGATATTCCGTCAAGTGTGACGACCTTCGCGAAATGTTTTGTGCCGTCGAGCAGCAAGCTGTATTCGATCGGCCGGTTCAATCGAGCGTTTGTCCCGACCTGATGAAAACGCCTTTCATTCGATCGAAACGTCTCAGGGCTCCGGAATTATTTCTGGCATCGATGCTCCGACGAGCGATTCGGTTGAGTAAACTTCGTACTTTACGTACTTGAAGGAAGTGAGCGTAAATTTAGTAAATGTGAATTGTCGAGAACTCGTGAGATCCAAATATTGGAGAGAATATTGACAATCAATCTGATATAATTCTTTTCGATTTTTTCTCACTGCGTGAGACAAATATTACCTAGAGTCCATGTGAGTGTAATAATTCAACAAGGAGAACGTTCACAAGTCGAAAGGACTCATTTGGAATAGTTAATACTATACACAAACACGACATTACATCATCTATTACACCATATGTCGCGCTGTAACAGTTGTCCACACGTGATTCCTCGTTTGTCACTTCCGACGTATAATAAATCGCCCTTTTCGAATTCGAACGAGAGGTGGAATTATCGGACAATCGATGATTGTCGCGCTTTCCTCGCACACGTGCCGCAGGAAAGTCATCGTAATAGCTTCCTCTGCGCTACGTGCGCACCCTGCAGAACGTCAGGATCACGAGTCCTTTCGGTCGTTCTTTCACTCGCACGTTGCACTCGGGCATTGTGCGATTGGATGCGCCGTTTCTTGCCCCAGCCGGCTTCGGGGAAAATTTCTGCGCACACATGCCCGCGATCCCACGGTCAATAAAGATCGAGCGTGCATCGTTGCCAGCTGGTGGGCGGGCGGGCGGACGGACGGACAACGGCCGCGGGCGATAGAAATCTAAGGCTGATCCCGTGACGTGTCGCACGTACTTTCAAACGTGCATTTTCCGCCCGCGTGGACGACGACCTGGGCTTTATCGGCGTCGTCGATCATCGATCGGGCACGTGCTGCGAAGAAACAAACCCGGCTTTTCCGCCGATGTACACGGCTAGATTAGGAATATCGCGCGTGGTGAAGTGCGTGTGACCGTAATGACATATCGCGAGCATGTCCACGTAGATTTAAAGAAGATCGCCGATAGTGCATAATACGCCGATGGTATACAACACGCGGGACGAGACGTGGGAGAAAGTTGGCGGTAATTCAGGGAACGTTAGAGAGGAAGCGCGCGTGCGCGCGGGAGAAAATTAGAAGACTCGATTTCCTCCCAATTGCCTCTAATTTTCCTGAAATTACTTTTAATTGTCTCCCCCCTCCCGCCCCGTGTGGAGGTAATTTCGGAGAAAGTTGGAGATAACGGGAGGGAATTTAAAAATACGAGAAACTCGCCAGCGCCATCGGTATAATTAAATGAATGGCTGTTTGCTCGTATTCCGGTTAACACGTAGAGCGTTTTGTGCACACGAGTATCACGAAGTCCTTCGTGAAAATAGTATCCGGAGGGGCTTTTATTATTTTTCGAAGCGCCGTGCGAAGTGATTAATCAAGTCCCGGTGATATTGTAAGCTCTGATATAGCCGTGGAACATATACTTACCCGGTATGCAGGCGTATTTTAACAGGATTCCGCCTGGGATCCAGGAATTTGCGCCCGGATGATCGATAGTTATATCGTAGCGGCAGTGCTTCTGACCCGAGCACCTAAAACGTGTAGAACGGCGTATTAAATTAACGAGGGACAAATCTGGATGGTGTGGTACAACAATTAGAGAATATAGAGAAAGGAAAATATATATATATATATAAGGAAAGACGTTAAAATAACGTTTCCATTAATCATCTGAGCAACCACTTCTTTTGTACGAGACTATCAACGCGAGCACATATCTCGCGTAAAAGTTCCATTTTTTTTCTTTCAGACAAATGAATCGCCTAACTCGAGCGAGGTTTCGCTTTCGATACAATCGATTGTCCGACAGTCCGCCAATTAAATAAGCGACGTCGGTCATTAGGGCCTGCGAACGCGCTGACAAAAGCAACCCCCTGGCATTTTCTAGGGGGATGGAATGCAGGAGTGGGTCCGCGATTGTTGCTGCCCTGCTGCGATCTTTGTTGTTCGCGCCGAAAGTGAATAATGAACGAGGGTGGATTTTCACCCCTTTTAAGAGGCCTCGCCGCCGAGTCGCGCCGCCGACGGCCTCTTCTCGTCGATTTTATCGGGCCGCGAGCGGAAATAAAAGGGAAATAACATTTCAACCCCGTCGTTCGCCCTTGCGTGGAATCTCTTTAAATTTTTTAGACCGCCGGCAGATTCTCAAATTGAAAGTTACGAGTGGTTGTTCGCCGGTGTCTTCCAGGACCACGGTAAATCGTCCCATTCGCCGATATTGTTTAAAAGATTTAAACACCGCCTCCGGGAAGTTGGGTGAAACGTTGCGAGAAAAATAGCAGCCTCGAGTGAAATTAACGAACAGGGCACGAACGAGCGGACGATTGGCTTCGTCTGCTACGCGAAATATTACAAAAGATTAAAATATGCAATTGTCGCACCGTTTTATTTCAGTCATGAAAAAATTATGTTTCCCGCGGCAAAATGTTGCGCTTTTATTATTTCTTGTTATTAATAATAATTCGGAGTAATAAATGCGCACTATCTCGGTAACAATTACGCCGCGCTTTTATAACGTTTCAATCTACTAATTTTCCGCTTACAAAAATATCGGGTATTTTATTTAATTATAAACATTATTTGTCGTTTTCCCGCGAGAAGGGGAACTTGCTGCAACTTCGGCGATGCAAAATTTGCATAGTCATCCTTCATTTGCGGAATTCTCGGAGCGTGATACTGTGCAAACGTGGGGGAGCATTTAGCAGCGATCGTTTCTCCTTCGGCGATCATCTGACGCGCATTTCATGGGAGGAAAGAAGGGGGGAAGGGTCAGAAGGGCAGCAATTATTGCTTCTGGAATGCTTTTACCCTCGCACATCAAACGTCGAGATTTCACTCGACCCTCGACGGCTCTCGAGTGTGCGACAAGCAGGCGGATAAAAACGCGGATCGGGGGTGGCTCGATCAAGTCTCGTGCGTTTCGCGAGATGATAATATTGTGACTTTCCGCACATCATATTCATGAAATATGGAAAACAGTCAAAGCATCGCGATTGATATTCACGTTCCCGTTCTTACTTTTCCGTTCCTCGGTTCTTGCTTATCTTGAGTCGAAATTTTTATGTTACTCTGACGCTTTTAGAAATAATTTGCCTACTTAGATGGTCTATAGATTTATAAAAACTTACTTTGACGATGTTGACACTCTTTTTAACTTCTTTTTTGAACCTTTAATTCCACGAGAAGGAATTTTAATGTTATCTTAAATAACGTATTTGGACATTAAGACAACGAAAACAAAAATTTACGACATTGTTAGGGTCTAAGTAGGAGTAATACTATATTATTAAAATAGAAATTTAACTTATTTTGCTATTTTAACTTTACTATATTGTAGAATTCAATGTTTAACATAAGCCCAAAATTTCGATTCGTGACCAGTTTTGCACTCGAGAGACTAATTATTTCGACATGTGTTACATCTCGGTTATAATTTATTCAGGTGTCACTGATATTGATCTCTGGTAACAAACATTGATTCGTTAACATGCAGTATTAATTATTACAATCTCGCTGTCTCAATCTTGCGACAGTTATAACTTTGTATCACCGTGCATGTCTATTACGCATCTGTAATTGGGAGCAAACGTCGTTTCTTAGGATTGCGGTCAACCTCAGACCTCGATCGTAATCGAACGCAATCTTATGTCATCGGATGTCTGTGTCACGAACAGAAATTTGATATCACCAGCGAGGACCATGAAAATTATACCCAGCCGATGAATCGATAGTAAAGAGAGAGAAAGAGAGAAATCTCAAAAAAGAGAGATGAAATTTAATTTATATTTTATTTAAAAACACAGGCACCTTATGAGAACAAGAGCTTTGAAATACAACAGCTCTTTTTACGAAACAATAAATATTAATTAATTTAGGCTTGGATTCAAGCGATAAGTAACTCATAAATTCTAAAAAATGTAAAAAATATGTTAGATCGCTATATTGCGCTGAATTTTTCAATTTTCTACAATAGATTCTTTACCTCTTATTCTCCTATAATAAATCTTTTACCTCTTATTCAATGACGATCTGATATCGACAATGTCCATTTCTCCGTCTTCCTCGTCAAAGATATAGTTCCCTTTGAGATTTCTCGTGTCCTTCCACCGTCGCATGCCATCTTTCTTCATCTTGATGTTCTCCAATATTTTCGAATCTTTCACACAAAATTCCGTGTGATTCGCGCGATATTCCGCTTCCAGGATGAAGATAAATGCCTTCAGCGACCTAGAAGGACGAAGCTGAATTTATATAACTTTATGTTTGTTACATAATCTTATACTTATACAACGAAATATACAAAGGTTGCAAAAATACAGTTCGCACAAGTATACAGCCAATTTCATATTATTAATTATCTTTTTATTTGATATCGAGTCTGAATTTAATGTTAAGCACATATAATTACATTATTTGTGTTTGAGTTAAAAGTTCAAACGCCTCGTTAAAAACGAAGTTTCTCCCGAGAGGAAACGCTCACGAACCTGCACGTCAGTCGGAGAAGGGTATGAGAACATCTTTGCTCTTGCACCACCTCCATGTATCCTCCGTGAAGTTTGACGGGTTTCAGAATTCTGCCGAAAGGCGCCTGAGTGGTTGCGATGATCCTGGGCGAGGAACAGGCTGCAATCGTCATGAGCAACAGCACCAGGAGATTCATCAGGGTCGTCGCTTCTGGCGCCATGGTTGATCATCACAGTGACTTGTGGTGTTCGCACGAGCCTTGCCTTCGGAAAGGGCTTAAAATTAGCCCTCGAGTGCCCTCGCTGATAAGAGAAATCTCGCCAGAAGGTAGACGCGCACTTTTACTCCTTCAAGTTCTCCCACGGCCACTCGAGTTGCAAGTCCGCGGTTGAAGGTCGACGACCTTCCTGGAGAATGAATCCGATTCAGGATTTTGCCTCCCTTGGTAATAGGCCGCTCTTAGAACCTGAGGAAGAATAGGTGCATTCAACAGACGTGAAGTACCTCGATAAACTCGCTTTTCCCGCAGTTCTCTATTTCTTCCATTTTGGTTGATTTTTCTATAACTTCACTTGTACTTTTTAAGCACTCGATGTTGCACTCGTTGCGTTACCGATGTCGTCCCGGAGTTAAAATTCGTTTCTGAGCAAAAGATACTTTCTTTTCGTTGCGCTTTATCATGCTAAATAGGATGTTTTTCAATGATTCAGATACTCGTCCAGCGGCGATAACAATTCGTTCGCGATTATATTCCCGAAGACCTCCAAATGGAGGCTCGTCTAAATGCAAAACAGCTTCATATCGACCGCTGGCGAGAGATAAATATGTACCGAAAGGGGAAATATTCATCAGCGTTAGCTGAGCCGGACTACTCCCCGCGAGGGTTTCCATTGAACGCGCTGAATTTTTGAAGCTATCTTTACGAAGTTGAGAGCTCGGTTGAGAAAGAGAGGATGAATAGGTGAAATACGGGGAGTAGGTGAAGGAGGATAAAGCGAGAATCTCGTGTGGAAAATCGCGGAGGTGTTTGAAAAGGTGCCGACGGTTGGAACTGTGCCACGAACATGAAAAATATTAAGTATCGCGTTACTTTGCGATGTAATAGCTTGTATCGCGCGGAGTTATATTTGTTTCACTTGACGGTCAGACGCATCGATAATCTCGCGAATTTTTGGAACAGCAGCCGACAGCCGTCTCATGTTATCGTTTCATCAACCCTCACGACTCGGATTTTTAACACGCGGACAATTTTAACGAATGCAATTAAAAAATTGGACCGTTCAAAAATCAAGAGATATCAATTTTATTATTATTTTTCTGGAGAAACGAATTGAAATTTGTCAATTTTTAAATCGCATCTGGTATGATACGAATTACATAAAAAATTCCATTACGAGTAGCATTCCCAGAGGATACATTTTTGTTAATGGAGAGTTAAATAAAACATTATATAATAATACGGCGTACAATGTTAACGCAATTTTGTCAGACTCAATAGAATCGAGCTCACCGAAGAGCGAAGCCCGACGGTTCGCCGGCGTCATCTCGCGCAAATCGATCTCAGTCGTGGACTCACCGTGGATCCCTCGGAGACGCTGCCGAGGATCAGCGGAAATCAGCGCTCGGCGCGTCGTGCGTCCGCCGACTGCGTCGTGGATTACGTTCCTCGATTCGATCCCTTCGCCGCCCCTTTATTTTCGGCCGCGGCATCTCTTAACTCTCTTCCACGATGGCGCGTTTGTTGGTAGAAGCGGCAGCAGCAGGTACCCCCGTCGCGTTCAATCGGCCACGGCCAAGTTCCAGGCACCCGGGCACCGAGACAGCAGCCGCGGTCCGACAGCAACTCTGGATTCCCGTGGCTGCCGTCAAGGACGCGAGGATTAGAATAGTACGTGTAAACGTTTTCGCATTTAGGTGCGTTTCACGGATGACGAAACGCGTCCTCGATTCGGAGAGCACCGACGCTCTCGATCGACGTTAGCCGATCGATGATTAATAATCGCACCAGCAGTCGCGCTCGATTAATCCTCGCCGGTGAAGACCAGTTGTTCCACCGCTCGGTCGATTTCGACTAATAGAAATTAGACGTTGGTCAATTGCTCTCGTTTAATGGCACCGGACGTTGATTAACTAACTCCGTTAAATATATGTCGGTCATGCCGGCTGAATGATCCTGATCAATAGATATTATCGTTGCATCGCAACGATATAGATTAGATATTAGATTAGGGTATTTCTGGCCACAGCATTGTTAGCTATTAGCTATTGAGGTTTGCACTCGCGAGATGATTTGATTTCTGCTGTCTGCCTGTTCTTGCATTAAATTTCTTGCTCGCCTTTTCATCAGTTCGTCACACTCTTCACTTTGACTCAGTTACTCGAGAACATCTCGACATGGAGAAAACGTTTCACAAAGATATATTTGACTCGATGTCAACGAATTTTTCCTCCCCCTTTCTTTCGCGATAAAAATTTATATAGTCTCAAAAACATATTGTCTCCTTCGAGTTTGTAAAACTTTTTAAACCGTAACGCTACATTCTTTTTTTACAATTGCGCACTTTGTTCGCTCCTCGATCACTCTGAAGAGTCTTGGAAAGTAATTAAGAAAATTTAATATTGTCAGGATCGATGAGTTTAATACATCGCTAAAAATGTCTCAACTCCGCTCGAGCGATCTCGAGCAATATACTCGGCTCGAAAGTAACGAAGATGTTCTAACACTGTTCAAACATCGCACTGATCGGCGCACTTCCTTCGAGAACCGCAAAAACCATCTTCCAACACTCGGACATCACCGACGTAGGGAGAGCCGAAGACCACGGTAACGTTTTCTAGCGCCGCCCGCCGCATCGGATGGCACACTCGTCGGTCCGTCTTCTTGCTGCGTCCATCGGGACGACGCGATCAGGCCGACGCGATTAGTAAATCCATAAATCGCGCGGGCGAGAGAACGCGTAGGCGCGCGAAGGAGAGCGAGAGGAGCACCCGCTCGTGTCGGCGATTCGCCAGCGTGTGCCACCAGGTCGCCCGGTGACGCCAGTTTGATGCCCGGTTGCTGCTGCTCCGCAGGCATTGACAGCCTAAGCCGTGAATTCCGCGCCAACGGCGCCGGCTAGAAGCCCGGAAGCGGTCGGTGGTAGTTTTAGGGCGGGGGGAGAATCACCCTGCCTGCCATACTGCCGCGTGTGCTGCACGGACCTCTCGGGGGTCGTGCGTATCTTCGTGGCATACGCGCGAGGCTCGTACCCCGCGTCGGTTTTCGCATTCTGCCCTTCGTCCTCGCCCCCCCACTCCTCCTTCTTTCTCTCTCCTTCTCTATCTCTCCCCCTCGTTTGATTCGTCCCTTTACGCTTCCAACAACACCGCGCCGGCTCTCTTCGCCGCCCCGATCCCGACAGCTGAAGCCGGCAGCTGAGGATTTTCGCGAGGATCACGCGGGATGAAGACTAACATCGGATCGATGGCGAATAAAGAAGGGGTGTAAAGTTCTTTTTCTTTCGTACGTGGATCTTTTTGAGCGAGGTATTACGATCGGGTACGCTGTAATATTTTACCCGCTCGTAATCCAATATTAATGTAACTTTAGATTGACCCGAACGAACGTGATTTGTTAAATTCAATTTCACTTAACTTACGATGGAACCCACGATCTTGAGTATTTACGAAACTTAAGTGAACATTTATCGTTCTACCAGCGGCGATTTTACGGGTATCTATTCCCGAATTGCATCCGCGCGATCGTCCCGCGGCAAAAAATGAGTCATTTTCCGGAGAGATTAGCGTCTCTCTCTCTCTCTCTCTCTTTCCCTATCGTTTTCAAGCCGCAACTCAAGCAGTCAAATTCCATTGTTCGATCCAGAAGAGACCCCGTGTCATCATCGATCCATTGTGATCGGCACGCGCGCGCTCGTGAAATCGCACATCTGCGTCTGCGACGGAAACGGTCGTCGGGTTCTTCGCGTTTCGGATGTACACCGGTTGTCATCGATCTCCATTGTTCGTGAATCAAGAAAGGCGCCCGGGAGTCTTGAGATTGCTCCGTGATCGAGGTTCGTGACATGCGAGAAATCGCATCTGCCACCACGGACATGTGCTATCGCCGTTTGTCGTCCTGTCGGGAGGAAAACAGATTCTAAGTGTCCTATAGCCGACAGATCGTCAAGTAATAGTTTCCAAGCTCAATTCAGACATCACGAAGTCTTCAACGTCCTATATTAAATAAATAAAGAGAATTAATTTAATAAATGTGTGCCTAATATCTTCGAAATCAGTTTTACTTTATGAATAAATTTCTAATTTAGTAGAATTTTTCAGATCAAAGGAAACTGAAATTGCCGATGAAAAAAAGTCAAAGCTGATATTAGATTAAACATTTGTTAAAAAGAATTTTATCATAAAACTTTCTAAAGAAAATACTTTGTTATATGTTACTTTTTATGGAGTATAGAAAAACAGCGAACTTTTTGCACGTTAAACGTGATCTTTGTGTTGAATTATCGCGATCGCATTTTTGTAGTAATTTCGATACACGTTAAACCACAGAGAATAACGTGTGAACCGATTCACCCCCTGTTAGAAAAACCCCCCGGCGTTGCTGCACGCGTTGTTAAAAATTAGATCGACATCTGCGGCCGGTCACGGCTCGTTTAATCCACAAACTCAATTGATGCTTAGTCAAATTACATTTCTAATTCCCTCGTTTCATTTTGCGCGGCACGCTCGAGGAAACGCGCCGAAACTTCCATCCGTTTCTCACCCTCGAGAAAATCTTATCGATCAAACGTGATCGCACCCTATTCTTTGCATAAATCGACTGCGTTTAGTCCCGTGGAAAGCAACTGAAATTTGTAAATAGAATTCGAGCGAAAATTTCTCGTAGCACTACTCGTCTGTAAATGATTCTTTTTGGCAAAAATACGCGAAAATTCATGGAAATCCGTAAACCCTCGCGCGACTCTTAACAGGCTTGCATATCACGTGCGCATCCGTTCCGTTCCGTTGCGTAAGGAGCTATCCCCCCTTATCGATCAGCTGAGAGTTACGTATCGTGCCTGTGTAAACTCCAAACAGAAGTTCGTGTGGGCGACTTCTAATTTGGGTGTTTCCGCGAGCCACCTCGTTCGCGTTCCGCTTTTACCATTTCCACAATCCACTTCTATCCGTGGCGAATATTTATCTTTAAAATAACAAACTCTGGGACTTAAGATACGCGGACGTTCTCGGTAATCTTTTAATAGCCGCGGCATTTATATTGCGTAGTTTTATATTCACACGTGTAGAGCCACAAGTCTCGCTGATATTGTTTATGATCTATTGTTATATTGCGTACGCGGCTATATTGTACATAACAAATAATAAAATGGGGGAAGAGAAATTATTTTGAAACGAATATAAAAAAAAATAGATTTTAACGGATATAATTTTTAATATATTTTTATGCGTTGTATATTTTTTGGTATATTTTTTATAACTTGCTTTTTTTTCTGTTATTTTATTTTGGGCGCCATGCGATTTTAATCATAGCCAAAAGCAAAGATTTGTTTAATTTCATTTCTACAGGGCAGCGCCACTTGTTGAAGAAATCAGCAGGATAAATCGGTCGAGAAAGTCCTTGATACAGTTTTAGTTCAATCGATGGTGTTATTGGCCGCTGTTTTATAGCGCCCGTAAAATGTTGCAGAGCGAGGGTGCTTTCGTGCATTTCTTCTTACGTCAAGCGCCACCTAAATCCCACGCCAGGCGAGTGACGCAAACGAAAACAAGCTTAGCGGCTCTTGTCTGTAAAGCGGAGTAAACACTTTGCGCTCACGAAGTCTGCGAAGCACGCTGAAAAATATTTCATTGTAAATCAGACATTAGTTTTATTTTTCTTTCCTCCGGGGAAATTGGGAAGTGAAGTCAACAGATTTCCAACGGGCGGGACTGAAGAAACAATAGCGATAAATATTTGAAAGCTTTGAAATGAAGAGCGAATTGAAACGTATAAATTACAATCGATCGTATTATGAACATTCCGCATATTCAGGCTGATTTAGAATACACTCATAAATTGTGATGTTCGGATATTTACGTGAATATTCTAATGTTCAAAATATTATCAATTTCTAAATATACTTAAACATTCCCTAAATATATTTCAATTATTCGCACATTTTTTACGATAAATTTTAATTTATAGATTAGAATAAGAAAGGACAGTAGAGGAGTCAAACAAACCCGATCTTTGTGGTGAACGTTTTATTCAATTATAGTAATAATAATCGTCATCATCGTAGTAATAATAATCACCATAATCATCATAATGATAAGAACAATAATAATAATATCAACGCGCGCTCGCACATGCCGTGTCGGTGAGCGACGCGCGTCTCCACGTGTCGCAATCACCTTCCTCTTACGTGGCTCTATGCGTGGTCACATGTGTGTGAGCTGATTTGCTTTATCTTCTTTATTAGATTCTTTATATTTTCTTTGCAACAACATTTTTCTCGAGGCGTACAATAAACTGACGAATACTCGATTAACGCAATCCAGCGCGTTGATTTCGCTTTGATCCATGTCATGCGCCTTGTGTCTGTATATGTGTTTGTGGATATGTGTGTATATGTGTATGTATGCGTGTGTATTTCATGTCCGTGTGTGTCAGACGTACGAGTCGATTGCAAAAGTGTGATGATATATGAAACGCGTATGAACGAGCTCTTGCATATATACAATAGTAAATTACGATTACAATTACACTGGTTTACGTGTGTCGATGCTGAGGTGGAGACGTGCCATTATCTTGTCGCGCGAGATGACGTTTCGTCATATTGCGTGTTGAATACACGCTTGGCATCAAGATTGTACCGCGTTTATCTCACCAATGTTAATTCGCGAAGAAAATTAGATGAATACACAATTGTATTTATCGTATAATTTGTACTCGCCATTTGAATTTTTCCTCGGAAATTTCATCCGAAATTTCAATTTCATCCGAAATGTCACGTTTCCCAACGATAATACGATACGTTTGTTTCATCCTTTTTTATTCGGTACATTTAGGAGTCCATGTGATGACGTCATGTACTAATTGAAATGCGAATGTGAAGGATTGATATCACCCTTATTTATATCGGTTGTATTCCGAGAGGCATGACACAAAAATTTGATACAAAATAAGCTAATATAATTTTTACAATCGGAGCAGGTCAACGAAAACAAATAGACAAATGAATAAAATTGATAGACACGCGATGTAGTATAAACAGGAAAATATCTATTGAACAATCGTCATTTCATTAATATTATTATTCATTTGCTGCACTATAGAGCGCGAAAATCCGCGGGTGACGCGATAATAGCGCGCTGCCCACCTTTATTTGAGACTTCCGCCGCTTATCTTTCTCCTCTTCCGATCGCGATAAGTAAATAGGAGTAGGAGTTACGCGAGACTTTTGTATCAGTTGTTGCTCCGTGTTGTTGCTTAATTAACGTCCCCGGTATTATATCCAATCATCACACGATACGCTAACATGCCACGTGAGATACCTTGGATTTTCCGTCTACTTTCTACGAGGAATATGAGATTAAGTATTTAAGTCTGGGTCAGGGTCTACGTGGTGGTCGAGAAGACTTTAACGTCGTTATTTCGTAAAAGAGAGCTACTGTTATATAATTCGTTATGTAATCGAACCCTTAAAAAAGTCGAATTGACTCCCGCGCGATTCTGAATTTAAAAACGCGCTTGTACTCGCTGTCTCTCTTTCCTTCCTCCTCCCTTCCTCCCCTTCTTCCTATCTTTTCCGTCTAAAATGAGACCTTGGAGGACAATTCAAGAGTACTAGATCGTTCATCGGGGAAAAGCGTTGATTAAGGAGGATTTTTAAAGAGCTCACTCGGAACGTGATTTTAGGCGCAGCTTAATTAGCGCGCGAACGAAATCGTACACTTTCGCGACTTGTGAATTTTCCGTTCGTGCGTGAGTGCGTGCGAAAGTAAGTAACGTTTACCTAGGTAGAAAGTTGCGGCACTAATTCATTAATTAATGCTCAATTTGATATCGATGTTTGCGTCATCCCGATCTCCTTTTCTCTCCCTTGCTTTAATTATCTATTATCTTTCTGTTAGGTCTTTTCTTCTTTTTCTAATTTTGTAGAATTGTATCCTAAAACGAGGAAAGGTAGAGCAGCCACACTATTAAGACTGCGCTATTACAAGCACTTTTAAGCGCTACCGAGTGTCTCGCGGTGTTTTATGTCTCGGAAGGCGGGAAATGGATGGGGCATTATGTGAAATTTGTTCGAATGAAACGTGTAAGGTTCCACCACCGCATTGATATTATTTGATCTATCCCAACACGACATTAAAAGACGAAAATGCTGAAGGATTAAGATTTTCCGTCTAAACGATCTCTTTCCGCCTTTCTTTTGATATTTTTATCTTGTAATTACCCTTAACATCATTCAATCCTTACCCTTAACATTTCCACTTTGTGTTGGGGCTTAGTAAGGAAATATCGACCTAGAAGTCGAGTCTGTGTGTGTGTGTGTGTGTGTGTGTGTGTGTGTGTGTGTGTGTGTGCATTCGTGTGTTTCATTCGGACGAATCTCACATATCAGGTGTCTCACGTTTTTCCCGGTTCTTTGTCTTTCCTTTTCGCATTGCGTTCCTCGATAGTTTTCGTTTTTAAAAGCGATAAGGCATTGTCGGATATGTCAGCTGAGATCTTCGAACGTTTCTGGGATTGCGGTGTACATCGAAAGCTTTACAAAAATATCTCATCTTATTTTATCTGTCAAGTTCTCCCTCGTGCGTTCCCCGTCGTCTTCCGAAATCCTCGAGCCACCATCTCGTTCTTTTTCGTCCCTTGAGTTCAGCCACGATCCTCTCGATAAATTTTGTCGGTCAAACGAGAAAACTTCTCCTCTTCTTCCTATCTCTCCCTCTTTTTTCTCGTCCGGTAAGAAAAGTAAAGCGCAATTTCGACTGTTTTGCTTGCTCATCCTGCGCTCTCTTAGTTGCTCTTTCAGTACCCTGTTGATTTTCTTCTCACTGTGACATAGTGACTGAAGCGATTTATTATGTTCCCGTGCGTGCTATAAAACAATAGCGAAGAAAAGATTCATATGTGCTTCGGGAAATCCTTTTTTCGATTTGATGTGTTTCTCTTTCTTTTTTTCTTTTCTCTCTCTCTTCTTCGACGTGTCTATGTCACCATGAAGCCGTCATTGTCGGTGATCGGTGTGATTAAGCGCAAACTTTTTGGCACATTTGCTGAAATTTTCGGCCACTAAGCCCTTACAATACGATCGCTTCTCGAATACATCTAAAATAAATTTTCCCTCTGAGTGTGATTACCAATCATATGAGAAAATATATAATCGAAAAATATATATATATATATACATACATATATATTTGAATTATTATTATCGAAGGGCAAATTGAAATGAAAAATTGTAGAATCATAGCAAACAATTTTTGTGCAAGTTTAGCTGAAAAAGCCGAATATGTCAAAAATTCCCTTCCTGAAATTTGACTGAAGCGGAGATGAGACATTATATATATTTGTATGCAATGTTCATGTATCACATCATATACGGTAAGGGCTTAATCGCCTGGAGATTAAATGTTTCCCTTTGCTTGTGGCTCGATTTGGCTCTCGTACAACTGCATAATTGCTCGCACGCGTAACATATTCTATAGTTCTAACAATTTTTTTTTTTAATTGGAAAAATCACGGGCGATCCAGTTGTTCTTTTCTTTTCCGGTCATTGTATTAAAATACTCTCGACGCATTTATTATTACGCGCTATCCACTTCGCTCTAAACTTTTTATCTACGTGTGAAGGTAATACATAATACAGCTTCTCTATAAATCCTCAACTCATTTGGGTAACTAGCACTCTTGCGTGAAATCGTCGGAATCGTGCACATACGCGCGAGAATGAGTCTCGAGTTAATTTTTCCCGACTCGAGAAAAGAAGCACTCGTATCAAAGGGGAAAAAAACGATCTTCGATTCCTTGTCCGTTACAATTATCGATGATAACGTAATTGACTCGATCCCATCATCTGACGATGAATTACAGACACGGTGGAAAGCTCTCGAAATCATACAACGGTAATTTAGGCGTCGGGAGGAAAGAACATGAGTCTCTTTCCCCTTTTCAATTAAGTGCTTTTTCCCTGCAGCCAGAGTTTATTCAGAAAAATTCACCTCTCAGATCTCTTCGCAGAATCCCCCGTGATTTCCCATCACTTGAACTCGAACTCGATCAGGCCCTTGCTATGTGTGTATGTGTGTTCGTGTATGCACCTCTAAGTATAATTTTCTCTTTGAAAATACCGCGTACGCTTTTATTTTATATCTTCTTTAAATTATTCCCTTCGGCGAGACGCGCTTTTAACGCCCAGTAGGTACGATTTGCAATTCCGCTACAGTAGTAATTTTTCCTCTCTCTTCTTTTTTTTCCCTTTCCTCTTTCACCGTAATACTTATATGTACATGTATAAATATGTGTACGTTGTGTACGTGAGTAATATAGTTCTTTTAAGCCTCAACAATTCACATAACAAACGAGTCGACGCCATCTCGATTTCGGTCAAGATCGTCGTTAATTCCGCCTCGATGACGATTATCGACGCACTTCGGCCATTCGACGGACAAAAAAATAATCGTTAACCCTCCCGGGTCGCGATATCCGTTGCGCACACGTGATGTCTGGTAATCGTCCGTGTTTTTTACAATTCGATTAAGTATTTAATTAAACGTGATATCTTTATCCTCTTTCTAACTCAATTGCTTCGACTTTTTATCTTCGCTAGACTAATTTTATCCTCAACCATTAATTGCTAAATGAACGGAAACAATGGCGATATAATTTCCCAGAAGAATCAACTTCGGCAAATCTTAAACTTCGGAAATGGATCGTTAAGTTGAAATGATTGAAAAATATACGCGGTGGTAGTGTATTCGCGCGGATGTATCGCGCGCCCGAGGAGTTAAAATTCTCTACACACAACGCAATAAACGAACGACATCCTAGCGACGCCCGATCAACGTCTACCAACTACGTTAACGTTAATGTATATAGTAACATTTAACAGACTATTAAGCGATATTAGGCGCGACTTCGAGGACCAGCCGAAAGACACCTAATCACTCGAATTAACGAAAATCTTGATCAACATGGCCGCGACCGAGAAGCGGGAGGGAGCGACTTCGAATTCGTCGAATTCCACAACGAAGTTTCGAGTCTAAATCGGAATCACGTTTTAATCTAATCAATCGATGCATTGTTACAAAACATTCTTGTAAATCTTCAGCGAGGACAAATTATTTTCACACGAGTAGAGAAAGAGCGAGAAAGAGAGAGAGAGAGAGAGAGAGAGAAAGAGATTCGCGTAATTTCGCGCACGAATCTCGCGTTTATTTGATTTATCTTTCCCTTTGGACTCGCGCCCTGCCGCCTCTCGGTTGCGCGTATCTTCCGCATTTCTCATAATTGATCAACGGCGCGATGCCGACCGGAGCGGACGCCACTCGACCTAGTCGTCGTCGCGGCCCGCGCAAATATACTCCCGTAAACGTGTGTGTCTGTGAGTGTGTGAGGTAATCTTCACGCAACACTGTGAGCATGTAGGTCTGCACTCTCGTTGCATTCGCTTGCGCGTTCCCGCGATCGCACGTGATGGAGAGAGCGTCACCGTATCTCCCCGAACGAATCCCTTATCGATTAGCAGCAATTTATATATATTTAGTATACGTGAAACAGCTTGCGTTAGTTTGGCACATTGCACGATCCATTACGTTCCGCTTCGTTTCCTCTCGTCCTCGTCCCCGAAGCAACCATCGGATGCTGTGCTCGCTACGACGCTCCGATGCCGATGAAAAATATGATCGATTTTACTTCCCCGCGGCCTCCTCCGAGGACATTCCCGCGTCTCGGAGCTATCTCGCGTCGAACGGCAGCATCCTCGTGACCGACGACGACGATGATGATCGCGCAATTAATCGACGAACGAGTAGTTTCTCGGCTCACAGAGGCGCCACAGACCGGCTCGTTGCCTTCGGGACCTTCGGAGTTCACCGGTCTCGGCGCTCTCGGAGTGGCTACTTGCTCTCTCTATCGAACTGTCTGTTAGAGGAAAATATGTACAGCGGTGTATTATATATATACAGTTAAAGGGATTTTCTCTTTCGTGGCGGTCGTCTCGCGACGTTGAACGCGACGCAAATTTATCTTCTTCGCATGACCGCCGGTCACGCGAGGAGAGGAAAGTATTCGAGCGAGTGCGACTTCGGCTAAGCTGCGCGACAGTCCCCGGGGATTCTCGGATTTCCTCGTATCTCGTTGGCAGGATTCGTGGATTTCGATATCCTCGAGTTAACTTTGTGAAGCCTCGACCTGATCCTCCGAAAGTCCCGAGCAGAGTCGGAAGCCGGTTTCGTCATCCTCCCGGCGTCTCGTCGTTCCCTTCGCTTCGTCGCCCCTCTCCGTGTTTTCTGAATTTTGTTGTTGTGTTGTTTCGCCAGCGAGTGAAGTTCCCACCACCAGGGCCAGGTAAATTAGCAGCTGACCGACAGCTCGGCCGTCCGAATCGAGAACTCGGGGAGACGGGTAGTTGTTTAGAACTCTCTCCGCGAGGCTAAATCGTGGATTGTCCGGAATAATTACCGGTGTCCATCAGTCTCGATCGAATTCAACGGCGGCGACGCTCCTGAATCGCCGCCGGCCGAGCTTTGGTCAGGTTGGGCTACGGTGGTTCCGGCTCGGAGGTGGGAGATTCCTGCTACGCTTCCAGGAAAATGAGCGCCGCCGGCTTCGGCTCCAGGTTGCTCTTCTTCGCCTCCACCACCAGGAACTCGATCTCGTTCCGATCGCGCCGCGCGAACGACTCGGCGATCAGCCGCGCCACCTCTTGATGATGAAGCCCTGAAAACCACGCGGAATTAATCCCCTCGTTCGAAATGAAATTTTCTATTGATTCTAAGATATCTCAATTTTATTAACAGTTAGAGATGATTCTTTTTTATGAATTCTGGAATTTTATGCAGAATTATTTAGAATTTTGTTTACAAATTTTAGAATTCTTATCGGGAAACCTGGGGACACTTGATCTTCCCTTTCGATTTTGTTGAGGATTTCAAAAAATGAAAACAAAATCGAAACGTTCTTATGCTCATATCATAGATACTTTAATAGTATATCTAACCACATCGATCAAGTTAAAAAATAATAATTCTTAAAGTAATTTTTAATGAAACAATCGAAATATGCCCCTATTCTGGGAAACTTATTCCAGGAATGGAACTAAGACTTCATTCAATGAGATCGTATCATCTCTATGTTTTAATTAGTATAATAAAAGATATTGAATAATCATAATTAATTTCTATTAAAATATTCTCTATTAAAAATTTAAAATTAAACAAGTTATAAAATATAATCTTCAAAATAAAATAAATTATACTTGTCTTAGTACAATTATCAGTCAAAATTATTATAGAATAATTATTTCCTACAGTTAAAAATGAACACTACTATCAACATAAAAAAAAAAATATTTAATCTTTCCATTATCGAAATAATGGCTAAGGATTGATTGTTCCCAGATTTCCTTATAGTGAGCAGCAAATATTTATGGTCGCTAATGCCAAAAGTGATATTTTTTAATAACTCTACATGGAAAAAAATTACTCTTAAATAAAAAATAAATATTCTCATGTATGAGTAAGAATATCATAATCTTCTTAGGGACATTTAGTCTTGATTTGATTGTATGTATATTGATGCAAGTATTACTTGAACTCAATTCAAGACTAAAAATCTTTTAAGATTATAATATTCTTGTTTATATATGAGAATATCTATTCTTGATTTAAGACTAATTTCTCTCTGTGTAGAATCTTTAGAAATTTGTGAGGAATTCTAGGAACAAAGGAGTGATTATATCTATTGAGAAAATACTTTTCGCTAAGAACATTTATCGAGAAGATGGGTCATGCGATACCGCATTAAAGATCTATTGTTCTTTCGACCTTGCCCGCGTATTACCTTCAACTTTCTGGCCGTCAACCTCGAGGATGAGCTGACCGACTTCGAGGCCGCCAGCCTCGTAAGCTGCACCATTATCCTGCAATGAATTACCGCACGCGTTAGTCACGTTTATGGCATAATATTGTTTATGCCGTCGTAAATGGTGCTGGCGATAAATTCACTCGATGCATATTAATCGCGCATTTTGATGCCGAACTTCATTTAAGCAAGAGACAGTCAAGTGCCTCTCGTAATGCGAGCATGTCGTAATACAAAAGATATTTCGACGTAATGTATCTCGTTAAAAGGATCCTTCATCACTGAGTAAAGAGATATCAATTTCAAGTACAATTATATTATGCAAACAAGTTGTTAGACAATAATTAATATTATAAATAATTAATCACTCAAGATATTTTCCAAAAACCAGCGTTCGATATCAGAGATGCACTTTTCGCATGAGATTTGCCGCTTTTCCGAACTTGGAAGATTAAGCTTGAAGTTAATTAAACGACGAAATCCTGTCGCTCGTTTGCATCCGGCCGATGTTGCAAATAATAGCACTCAGCGTCGTTAACTTCATTCTTAGCCTCGCTTTTCCCTTCGACCCAACATCCCCTGACGTCAACTCGAACTTCACAGCAGCAATCCAATAGTCCCTTAATCTCAGCCTAATTTCGCACTCAGCTAACGTCTTTCAAACTCATTTCGACCACCCTCTGACTCGTCTCGAAATCCCTCGGCATCGCCTTCACAAGCCCCCTTTCTAATCCGCGACTCTTCGACGTCGCTTCGACTTCCTTCTGTCCCGCACGCTCCCCTCCCTGCCCCTGCTTCGTCGAATTAACGATTAGCATGGCAAAATACCCACGTGTATGTTGATGATCCGGGGCAGTGGATGCTTGGTGTTGGCGCCGCCCTCGATGGCGATGCCCAGAATCGACTTGGTCTTCCTCACGGTGATGCGCAGGTTGCCCTGGTGATCGGGCACCACTAAGGCGCCGTCCTCCTCGCGCCTCTCCGACATCTCGCTGCGCGTCAGCCTCTGCACGCTGTGATGTCGGCGCGGCGGGCCCCCCGCGGTTCCACTTCCGGCGGTTCCGCCGCCGGAGCCGCCCTCCTCAAGCAGCTGCGCCTCCTGCATGTCGAAGCTTCGCGAGAGCTTGTGCGCGAGCTCCTGGAACGGGCACAGCTTGCATTCAAACGGCGATAGTCGCGTGTCAGGCCTTTCTTCCAGCCGCCAAGCCGGATTCGCGGCGGCAACCGGAAACTGTTTTTGATCGCACCTCGATTAAACTCGAATCACCAAATATCGCGAAGAATGTGATCGGTTTTATTATCCGGTGAATACGGTAAAATTGGAAGTTACAGTCGAATTGCGAAGTCTTAATTTCAAAATATTCTTGATTACAATTTGCACAGCATATTTTATCCGAAGAACGTGGAACCTGGAATCTGACGGACCCGTGGACGTCCTTTGGATGTCTTTGGAACATCCCTTAGAGGTCTGTGCTGTATGGGAAATTACAGCTTTCATATTTCAATTTTTTAATTTCGACTTTCAATTTCAACTTTCAAGTTTTGAGAATCGTATATTTTAAGTCTCAATGTAACATCAATTGTATGCAACATAATTTATTTCCTGCGACCGCTTCTCCAAAATCACTTTCGACTAAAATAATTTCCAATAATTTTCCGTTAATTCATTTAGATTTATAATTTTGTTCGAGAAAAGGGGCGCTGATGGTATTCACTCGTTTAATCAATTAAATTGAACATGTTGCAGCCGCGTATCCGAAATATCATCTCGATGTGTACACACACACACACACATACACACACACACGCACGCGCACACGCACGATGACAGCACATAAGAGCTAAAAAGGCTTATGCTAGCGTATTCGCGTGCACGCTGCAATGGAAGAGCGTTCTGGTATTTCACGAAGCTTCCGATATTAAAGTATAGAGATTGTATACACAGTCGTATTAATTCTCGTACTCTCTTCGTAATTTCAAAATGCATTTCTCCGTAAAACGTCGACACTTGGATATAAAATACGAAAGTGCTGATCGGAAGCTGATAGAGAAAGACAGAGAGAGAGAGGGAGAAAGGGAAGTGTATTTAAAAATACGTTCGAAGTGCATTCCAACCATCCTCTCGATACTTTCTCATCTCGCATGCCTTATCTAGCGTGCTGGAAATTAAACGGGAGGTAATAGTAAAACGAAAATAAAAGTCGGAAGGTGTCTCAATAGTGAAGTTTCTATCTCTCCCCGTCATACAGTTTTAATAGCAAACATTCTCATTAAGGATGAACAAAGAGAGATGTCCATTTTGAACGGTGACGGTAAAATTGAATAACACAAAGGAAGGCGTTTCAACGGTAAAGAACACCTCGTTTTCATTGTTTTGATGTTATATTAGAAGGATCTCAACAATAGAGAAAAATCGGAAGGCCTCTCCAAACAGTGAAATAACACCGATCTTTTCTCTCAAACACGTTTTTTCCCGTCTCTCTCGCGTTTGATTTCGAGTCCATTGTTCCATTTCGCTTTTCCTTGCGTGCATATCACATTACCTATGTGCATGTATGTGAATTATATGTGCTGACACGCTAACATATAATGTACATACGTATAAGAAAACGGTTGTATATGTATTGACATATGTTTAATATATATATATATATATATATANATGTTTTATATATATATATATATATATATATATATATATATATATATCTAACTATATATATATATATATAGATCATAAGAATATATATATATATATATCGAAAAATTGATTCATGCTTGCTGATAAGGCTGGTAGCAATTAAGTGTTGATAGTGCTCGGAGATACATAGTGGCGGTGGTGGTGTAGTGGTGGTGGTGGTGGTGGTTGTGGTGTTTGTCGCGTCATTATCATAAGGCTGATTGTTCTCGCTATTGTTGCCGCCGGGCCCGACTTTTGGCACGACCGGCTTACCGTCAAGTGCAACAGCAGAAACGACACATTGATAGCAGAGATATATTTCCATCGCGGCATTTCTATCGCAGTAAAGACGATACCGAGCTAACGTAATACCGACTCGCTAGACGACTAACTCTGCAAGACTAATTCGCGCTACTCAGAACAGTCATAGAATCTTTTCTACCGCGTCGTCACGTCTAGTTTAAAAATGGTTTCATTAAGAGCGCATGAAAGGTTTGTGCGGCAAAAGAACAGACTACATGTACTACGTAGTTGTGAGGAAAAATGGAAAATTGAATATACAAATTAGATAATTATATTTTAATTTATGTTATATGTTGTGTTATATAATATGTATGAAATGTGTGTAATAGTAGAAAAATATTTAAACCATGTGTTGGAATGCAATAGAAAAGACTCTAGTTATTTCTCTTGAGCTATTCTTGAATTCTTTTGTACTACCATTTTGTACGACACTCATGCAACTGGGACGACAACAATCGACTTTCATCTCACAAATGATCACGTTACATTCTTTGTTGCTCTTGAAATGGAGAATTCTTCTCTCAGTTCTATAGTAATATGTATAAATATTATTATGTTATATCCGTATTAATATGTAACTTTCAATAAATTATATATATAAGAGCATACCACTCGTGTAGTGGATTAAATATTAATTAGTGCTTTATAATAACAATATATTGAGCTTTAATTAAGGCGATCAGAGTAAATTATACATCGCGCAACTACCGGATCAAATTTAGATCAATAACTTGCAATTAGTTAATAATTTTCATCGATATACCCAATGTACACGAAAGAGATTATTTCTTCGTGATTTTTAACAATCTAACTTGTTGAATTTAAAAAGACGAAAAAAGGTGCGAGGATCGTGTGTTAATTAGTTCGGCTCGTTTCCTCGGGAGAAACGTAAATCGAGAATGGTGAAAGTGTGCCCACGCGGTGTGTCACGTGGACACACACACGCAGGTACGCGTGCACGCACGTCGTCAGTACAATGAGCCCTGCTCTCTTCCCACATGATGATCTCGTCGATTTTTCTGTCTGGCCGGAAATTTCTCTTTCTACCTGAGGCATACACCCACGACGTTCGAGCGGGAAAAACTTGCGCGAGAAAAGCTCACATCGTGAGCTTCTGTAACATATTGACATCCACACCGAAGGATTCGTTAAGATGACAATCAATTTTCTACAAAATATACAGGATGCGTCCTTATAAGAGCGATTTGTTAATATTTCGTAAAATTCTTGATTTTAATTTAATAAAATTATCGTAAGTACAACTTGCAGTAAATGTTTATGCCGACGAATATATGCCGCGTTAGAAAATTCAGTATCGCACTCGGTACAGTAAAAAATTTTATGTTAAAAACGGTGCACTGAAGTTTTGTGTTATTTTAACATAGAGAGAATGTGTTAAAAAGTACACGAAATAATGTTAAATTAATGCGTGCATCTCGACAACATGTTGACAAAGTGAATGTATTAATTTAACATTATATTTGCGTATTTTTTCCCGATACTTCCCATGTAAAATAACACAGAATTTTAATGAACCGTTTTTGACACAAAACTTGTCACGGTGGGTTAATTATTTCGATAATTGATATTGATAGAGTTCGTGAAAATATCTCGCGCGTACGAAAATTCCTCCCTGTCTTCAATGTGAGTAAAGTGATCGTGCATGCCAAGACATCTATGTGAATATATAGCGCATATACATCCCCGTGCCCGTATGTATATACATCTATGTACAGAGTGTCTCGTCCGATCAACTTCGAATGACAGATTCGGGGACGAATTTGGACTTTCTTTACTTGTATTGAGAATTCGATCAGTACTTTCTACCTTAATCTCTAGTCTAATTGTTATTAAAAAAAAGAGCAACGCTCAAGCATAACCAAAAATATTTGTTGAGGGAAGTTCGTTTGAACTTAAACGAGCAACAAGACCGCACTATCCATTCATTCTCATGACGAGTTACGAGACTACGAAGAAATCAATTTTCAATCTCTTATTAATCACTATTTTTTTTAACAGTCTCCGCTCTTTAATCTTCCCGCAATTAGATTTTTCTCGGAATTATCGCGGGAGGAGAAGTGACTCCAGATTCGTCCAAACCTGCGATTAAATTTCGACACGACGAAGACGAGAGAGAGAGAGAGAGAGAGAGAGAGAGAGAGAGTGCGAGGGAGAGAGAGATAGACAGATAGAGAAAGAGGGAGAGTAGAGTAGAGAGAGAGAGAGAGAGAGAAGACGCTCTGTATATAGATGTAATCCTAGTGATCGTGCTAGTATGTAAAGACAAATCGTAAAAAGTAGCATGTGCAAGACATCTAAGATAAAAAACACGTACACACCTAACGCTATGTCGACTAATTTCGCTAGCTCTAGGAGCACAAGGATACTTCGTAGTGTGAGAGAAATCTAATTAGGAAGAATTCATGCCGAAGGGAGCAAACGCTTTCGGCAGCTTGTATCGCGTCAATTTCCGCGCATCGCGTTTACCTGCTTATTCACCATTTTACCTTGCCAACCGGTCGTATGTGCCGCTCATGATTAGCGATTACTATTACAAATCGGGAGGAAATTTTACCGATAATCGTCGCGACTTGCCGATAACTTTTCGTCCGTCGCGCGATCGAGGTACCGAATTCATTTCGGTTATTCATCGATCGATCACTTTTTTCTCCGTCGAATTTTAAGCGATTTTTCTTTTTCATTTTTTTTCTCGATTATACCCATGAGTCCGTCTTTTTCGAACGGCAGGTTGCGTAAACGTGACCCGAATAAACGCATATTTAAACGCACCCGATGCAACCGCGACCTCGCCGGAAGTTTACGATGTCTCGTTGTTCCAGTATAATGCGATTTTTATTGCGGAACTTTATTGCCGCCCTGTCCTCCGTTCTGTGTTATTTTCTCTTTCGCCTTGCCAATTATATCTCGCTATAACTTACAATTCGATTATATAGCGCGACTATCCGTGCAGAAAAGAAAGTTGGATATTTTGCCGAGGGTAGTCATTTGCTAATTTGAAGAATAATAAAGTGTGTCTTTCATATACCGCTTAAATAAACAAAGAAAAGTGAAATTGCAAGAAATGTAGGGATTATGCGTGAAAAAAACACATAACAAAAACAGTTAGATATATTTTCGAGATTTCGCAGACTTTCCTTCTTAACGATACTGGGCTCATGATCTATCTTACAACGGGGAAGTATTTAGAATTAATTTACGATGTTAATTATCACTTTCCCCGTTTCTGTTATGATGTCATATCAAGCGTACACTTAGCAACGGTGATGAACTCGATTGCGACTTCGCTTTGCATTGTAATTTTTCCGCCGTGATGTTATCGCGATTTCCGGCGAGATCCGGACAGAACGTTTTCTACGTTTCCTCGCTCCGACACGAAAATCGCCGCTCGTTGCACTGATTGCACCCACTCCCTTCTGATCGAGGCATGGTAGATTGTCGAATCGATGCCGCGTACACGTCGCCCTTACCCTCCCACGAGGGCGTCCGCAAGTCCGAAAGAATTGGATTGCGTAAACTACTTCAACGAATATCTACATTCGAATTAAAAACAAAAATCAGCCTCTTGAAGCACACAGAAACGAAAGCAGATTTAAAATCGGAGAAATTGAATGCGTTATTTCGATTCAGAGCAAGATTCGATTCATAGCACACGTTACATCTGAAATTATCGTTGAGACTCCGCTCGAAATTTTCCAAATTTCTCTCTCAATCCACTTCTCTCCTTCATGGACACCCTCGTTCTCCCCCCGTCCTACCGTGAATCGATTGCGAAGTATCGATGGCGCAGAATGAAAGAAAAGTCGAGATAAAAAAAAGTGAAAGAAAGATATAAGACCGTGCGTGTCTGAGAAAGAAAGAGAAAAGAGAGATAAAGTGACAGAGAGAGAGAGAGAGAGAGAGAGAGAAAGAAAGAGAGAGAGAGAAAGAGAGAGAGAGAGAGAGAGAAAGAGTCGATTGCTGTTCGTTGGATGGGAAAACTTACGAGGGGCCTGGCGCCCCAGTACCAGGATTTGACGCGTTGCGTGAGCCCACCGAGTAAGTGGGACCTCCAACCACCGAAACCTCCACCACCTCCACTCTCCGAGCTCCTCTCCTCCCTGCCTTCGTCCTCATCCTCCTCCAAATCGCGATCCCTCTCGCCTGCGCCGCCGCCCCGTCTCCCGTTACCGATCATCTCGGCGTCGCTACCCTCGCAACCCCCGTCGCTCTCCTGCGTCGCGGAATCGCATTGCGCACAACACAACCGGAAATGCCTCATGTTAGCGCGCTAAATCACCGCCACCCCTTACGCTGCTAATTACATTGGCGCGGAGACGCGCGATGCGAACGACGTAGGTGTGAAAGACGGGCACGTCGAGTCGTGCGATACGGTGAGGGTGCGTGTGTACGCGAGGAAGGCACGTATGTGAGGAAGAAATATGTCGGGTTCTCAGAGATTAACACGCGCCCTATTTGCCGGGGGAGAATCTTCTCTTTTCTATGTTACGATAATGAGTCAAGTCTTAATACAACCTCGAGTGGATTTAGAATTATTATTAATTAAATGTGACGCAACATTCTTCTCCCCTTCTTTCTTAACCATTTATCTCCTTCTTTTTGCAAATGACACGGTGGAAGTTCTCGCTGGTTGAGGCTGATGAAACCGCTACTCTTAGGAGTGCCAATCGGTCATCCTTCTGAATCTTTCGCACACATTCACCGGCTTCGTGCGTCTCCGCAAACTTGTTACCGATATGCCCATTCTTCAAAATTGCGCGTAATAAACGCGCTCGGATTCGTTCAGATAGTGTTGCACGCATTTGTCTCGCCCTTGGGTTGACTCACTTCAGCCTTAATCGCGCCGACTTCTCCGTTAATTCCTTCGTCTTAAAACCGAGCTCTCTGCGAGCTTCGTCGTCTCTCCTCTTCTTTTCTCTTCATCTCTCTCGGGCAGCCACGGTAATCCGTTATTTCCTTCCTCAAATTCCGCCGTATTTGCATACGTTTTACGTCGTCGTTTGATGTACAGGGCGATACTCTCGGGCCGGTTGACACACAGTCAGCTCCTCTCGATCGGTGATCTATCGTTGAAAGCGATTTCCGTCGCGGAATCGGCTTCATCGTGACGTCGGCGTCAGCGGTTTTCCCCGAGAATTACGATCGCGCGCGAGTAACAGGATACTTGGAAAGTGCGTTATAATAATTGGATATAATAACTCATCTCTTTGTAAACGATCATGGGGACCTACATGATCGTCACGCGCGTGTTTATGATCATTTTGCGCGGGGACGCGTGACGGAGCGCAGGTGGGCCCGATTGTTGCCGTCTTAACTGGAGCACGTCCTCTTAGCTACGTGGATCCGCAGTCACACGATACAAAAAGCGTCTTGGTTATACCAGGCTGTAATGCCCGTGAGAAAGCGCATTTAACGATTACACTGCGAGGAGGCGATCGATAAGTGGAGACTGAAAAGGAGAATAGAATAATTGTTTCTTCTTCATTGATAATCTGGCGATCTGACGGAGGCAGGTTTTCAAAAAAATTCAATCAAGGGATTTCTTACTGCAATGAGCACAATATTCGAGCACTCGGATAATCCTCCGAGGGTTTATAATAAAATCTAGAAGATAAAGAAGAGGAGTATCGCGCGGCAGAATTGGAAATTATTCGAATTAATTTTAGCGCATCATTTGGATAAAACTTTACTTATTATTTGCGAACAATACGAATAACGAATAAACTATTCGCGTATCTGTTTAAATACATTACTGGATTACTTCTGTATAAAAGTGTTATTTATAGATTTATTTATTATTTCAAATTAAATTTGCCCAAGTCTGTCGCGCGCCACGTGCCACACATAGTTTAGATAGAAAATAATAGACTTGACTTAGTACACCGAGAATTAACCTCGCGATCGGCATTGAATTCAAAGCGGCTTAGCTTCGAATCTGTCATCGGCATTGTTCCAAATTCAAATCGCGTCTTCGTGGTCACCCAGTAACCTTAGTCTCGGTGACGGCAGGAAATAATAATAATCTGCTTATTAATGGGTTCGTCGCTGCCGCCGCCATGCGGCCGGAGAAAGTTTTGGAGCGGCGTGCCGTTATATCGTGGAACGAGGATCACGTAGAACAAACGGAGGTCCCAAGGCGGATTCGAATGGGGACCGAGGAGGAAGACCAGTGTTTTACGATTTCACGATGTGGGTCAACTGTCGCGACGCGTTCGTCGATTCCGCGGTTAAGCAGTCGCGACGAAGTTTCTCGTTCCTGGAACGAGTAATCGAGCAACCGGTCGTTCCTGTTCTTCTCTCGTCCGGGAGCGATAGGAAATGAAACGATGTTTCTCTGTTGGTCACCCGGTGATGATGACACCTGTCGAACGAACTTCTCTCTATGATTTCGTGCCCGACGATGCGGCAGCGGTGTTCCGATAAACAGCCCAATTGAAATCGATTCGACCGGTATAACTTCTGAGATAGATTTAGTTGTCAATTTTAACGAATTTAAAATATCCTAATATTAATTAGTGAAAGTAGAAGCGAAACGAGATCGGTGTAAATGGACGCTTGAATGAAAAGTTGCAAGGTGGAAAATTTTCTTCTAAATGAGGACAAAAATACGAGGTAGGAAGAAATTAACTTTGGGATCTCTTAGATATTAAAAATACAATTTATATTTCTCGTGTTCGTTTATTATTATCAAAAGATTACGTATCTCGACTGAAGACGGCCTTCTAATGTTTATTTTCTCCTCGCTAGATGTTTTAACTTTCCATAGTTCTTCGATAAAATTGTATATTAACATGAACGTTCCTTAACGCGAGAAAAATGATAAAATCAAGACTTTAAATAAACTTTCGCCATTAATAGCACAATATTCTCAGAAGCGAATGTTATCACGGAGGCTGGTAATCCTTATCAAACCGAGATGCCCATTTTTGAACCGCGTGCTCTACGCCACGCCTAACTCGTCGTCCGTAGATTGCTGACCAACAAGCTCATGGATCACGTCGATCTCCGCGCGTAGGTGTCACTCACAAACTGGTTTGAAGAGTGACGCAATATGGAAGTTCGACGAACTCCTAACCCCCACGTTATATCCTCGTTTACATAATAATCCTTATCTTGACACTTTGCGTTCGATCTTATCATCGCTAACAAGCGGTCGAATTCGTTAAAAGAAATCAAATTACACCTTCCTTCGACTTCGTTTCATACATTACATTATCTCCTTATTCGCTTTAATAAACAGTCCACACGAATTTCCGCAAATTAATTTCGGAACTAAAAGAACGGCCGAGAAATACTTCTTTCATCATCGTTACGCGTTATGAATCCCACATTTTGCCACATCTCATTCGTATCACATTCGTTCTCGCACATTGTCGGCGAACAGTCTTCTTATACCAAGTTCATTCTCGAGAAGCACCTTATTATCTACAAACCGGAAAATTAGACTGCCCGTGTTTACCGTTGTTTATCTCAACATGTCCGGTGCAAGTAAAAAAGAGATCGTGCAGTCAGAGGTGTCACGCGATCCATCTCGCCTCGTTACATCATCAGCTGCGCGCAACGTACGTATTGATGCGTTCGCGCTCCTCTTATCACCAACATCTTCCGCTCTCTTGCGCGCACGATGGACCCCCGTTCGTTTTGTACTTTCTTTTTTTCTTTCGAATCGCATAATTGCGATGCGGCCGATACGATCTAGGGCCGTGTCATTTCGTTACGCCCCTGTTATCAGACTCTCGGGGAGTCCCGAAGAGAGAGGGATGCACCTAGGACTGTATGTACGTGTAACCTGCATTCGACGCAGGCTGCCGACCTGGCAACGTTGTAAGAGCCGGTCTTAGGAACGTAGCCGGGATCCTCGGGCCCGAAGAAGCGAGATTCGCGGGATCACGATTTTCCCACGAAATATCACGCGTTATCCTTCGACCGTTGAACCCTTATCTCGATAATACAAGAATTTCCAGGAATAATCGAAATAAGTGAACTAAAAGTACGCGGAAAACGGCAGATAATACAGGGAAAGAATAGACGAGGAAGTGTTGCATAGAGAAGTGGTAAAAAATTTACAAAGAAAAATAGTGCAATGCGAAGGTGTCGTAACGCTCGAAGGCTTCGATCGAGCCGGACGGCTCGTAAGCTTTTTTTTTGCGGGCCCAAGAGCGTTGTTTCTCGCTTCTGCTCTGTCGCTTACGTTCCTGACCTTCTCTCACCTGTTACCTGTTCCACTCCTCCTGCTCTCACCTCCGTCTTAATTCATCCTTCTCTCGCTCACTCGTACACGCACGCCATGGCGGTCCCTCTCTCTCCTTCCCGCCTCCTACCTGTGCTTGTTGTTCTCGTTCTCTCCCTCTCCCTCTCTCTTTCGTTCTCTCTTTCTCCCCTCCCGCCCGTCTCCTTCCGCGCTCTCTCTCCTCGGGGCTGACTCACTCTCTCGATCAGGTAAACGTAAACCTGAGAGCTGGCCGCCACTTCATACTCGATTCCTGAATCAGTCGCGCAGGCACCAGCGAAACGAGCGCTCTCCACGCCATCGTTCTCGATCGCAGTCGTCTCGACCGTGTCTTCCCGATCGCGATTTCGTCCTCGTGCTGGTCCACGCGTTCCTCCTCTCACGAGAGACCGTGATCCGGAGGAGCTACCGAAACCCTTGCACATCGCGATCGCCGGATCCCGTTCGTCAGATCCGAGCTCTCGTACCCTCAAACAGTCAGCAGGTATTTATCTCGACCTCGGGGAAATTCCCCGAAGCCGTTTTCACCCGTTAGAGAAGCCGCCGAGACTCAATATTTACACCTCAAACATTTCCCCAACCAAAACATTCCCATGGATCCTCGACGATCTGTCCTCCGCTATCACGAACTGAAAGTTTTTCACACTTCGCGCGTGTCCCTTCACATTGCTAAGCTCGCGTCTATTAACTTCTGTACGCGTTATTCACGCGTGTCATGCATACGTGTGTGAGTGTCCGTGCTCGCGATTTATCCAGACTTGACGTTACACAGGGATTACCTGCGCCTATTATCGCGGCCTCTCGTAATTCCACTTCACAAACACTCGTATCTTCAGCGACGCACGAAGTCCGCAACGTCGCTCACGCGTTCCGACTCGAAACGATGCACGAAATATTCCGCGTACCGGGAGATGTCTTAAGTGGGTTAACAAACGTCAATTGACATTCCGCGTCGACGTTGCGTTCACGCCCGATGTAAATCG